GAGGAAGCAGGCCGAGAACTTCGCCTACCGCCTGGAGCTCAACGGGAACCGGCGGCGCCTCACCTGGGAGGCCACGCCCCGCTCCATCCACGATGGTGTGGCGGCCGCCATCATGAACAGTGACTGTCTGGTGTTTGACACGTCCATCGCTCACCTGTTCGCCGACAACGGCAACCTGGGGATCAACGTTACCATCTCCATGTGCTGAGCGGCTCAGATATGAAAACACACACATGCACACAGGCTTCTCTCGTTCTTAGACTTACACATGTGATGGACAGAAACCGGTGCACAGTGACTGACTGCTGTGCTGTACCTGCCTCATGTGTGATTCAGTAGAGTGTGTGTGAGAGGACAGGTGGGATATGGAGAGGATGTGTGTGTGTTTTGCTGCTTGAGGCTCGTTGGCTCCCCATAATGCTTGAATGGAGACTGGCCTGTAGAGTAGTTTCAGAGTTAGGGTGTTTGCCTGTCCTCACATTGTGTGTGCTGGAGACAGTGTACAGTAACCTACATGTGGTGGGCTTGTGATGACTGATGCCCTAACCGCCCCCAGGACCCCTCACCCCTCCTCAACCGCTCCCACCCCTCACCACCCCACTCACCCCTACCGCCTCTTCTGCCCAGCCAACCAGTGCCAGGTAAGAAGGGCACTGCCAGGGTAAGAAAGGGCGGTCAGTCAATTGGCTGCCACACATCGGTATTCAGAGAAGCTCCACTTCAACCGTGAAAGGCCCCTGCAGATGCAGCTTCCTAATCCTCACAGTGAATTAAGTTTCAGTAAGTTGGTTAGTGGACCAATCAGGCCTCAGACGCATATGGGCGGAGTCGGGCCTGAGAGTGACCAATGCGCTGCCTCAGTCTGGGTTAGTGTGAGCTAAGCTGGGGTTGCTCATGCTCTGCTAAACGATTGCACTGACTACTAACCAACTCCTTACTTTTCAGAACAGCAAGCTGCAAAACTCAACCGTTTCCATAATTAGACTATGTCATGGTTATTAAAACCAGCTTATGTTATGTCCAAAGTGTCTATGAAATGATGATGATGAAGATGATGGTGACATTGTAAATGGGCAGTTGTGTGTATCAGGGTTTGGGTCAATTCCATTTAAATTCCAGTCAATTCATAAAGTAAACAAAATTCAAATTCCAAGTGTTCCTCATTGAAAAGCGTTGACGAGAATTGGTATTGGAATTTCAGTGTACTTCCTGAATTGACTGGAATTTAAATGGAATTGAGCCCAACCATGGTGTGTATAATACATATTGGTGATAGATCCTAATCTGATTGTAATCAAAAGACTGCATGTATGTCCGCCATGTAGAATAAAGACACAGATCAGATGTTTTGGTCGTAGGCTCTCGTCATAACGCATCATAAAGGTTACATAATGCCATCGTAAGCATGGTATGAAACCTGTCATAAGCACTGTTTGGTGAAACCCTAGTGCCTAGTTATTCACATGGAGTCTGTTTTATAATATAAACAACAAAAATAAAACAATCTTAAGTTGAATCTTTACATTTTCAAACAACAAAGGCACATTACTTCTCCAAAGTCACTAGCTCTGTTGCTTAAACTCTGATAGATTGAAGGGTAGCTTTTTTGTTAACAATGAAGTCCCTTTCCTTTTGTAAGGTCATTTGTCATAAAATGTCATGAATGAAAGACAGGTGTCATGTCATATTTAAGATGGCATTATGTTTGTTTTGACACAGAAATCACATTTATCGTGTGCGAGCGTACATGCGTGCAGGAGATGGTACTACCACTGTTAGGATTATGTGTGTTGTTTTTCTCTGCAGCCACTCCTCACCAACAGAGATTAACAGTATGGCGGAGGCATGCATTTTGGAAATGCGCACAAATGTTCTTATTTGTTCCTCTGTATGTCTTGAAACCGTTTGTTCTGCAGAACCTGGTTTACCTTCATTTCTTCTATGCTCTGATTGATATATTGTAATATGAGGGTAGTTTTGACTCTCCCCTCTGGTCAGTCAACCCACCACAGCCTTACTTTTGTACGTAACCTAACTAGCACTCCCTACGTTGGGAGGGCATCTGTGAGGATGACTAAGTTAGACTCACTCAGACCCACACTCAGTGTCTTGAACGGACTCTCGGTTTTTGTGGACTTTGGGGCAAAATCCCATGGCATTGTGGGTAGAAATGGGCATTCCATAGTACTCCAGCAATGTACCTCGCCTTCACCCGGCGTCATAGTAACCGAGCAACCAAAGCAAACAAAAACCCACCTTTCCATAAAGTACCTCTGATGACGTCGACCACAGACATGTCTGTAACCCAACAGAGTCCCCTCCTGCTCCCAGGGACACTGCAGTATACCCCAAAACACCCTCTGCTGATCACCTCTGCCCCAGTGCTCTGTCTTATAAATATTTGTAATATGTAAATGTTGGATGACCATATATTTTCTAAAAGCTGGTAGGAGGAGATTATGTGTTCTGTTGTGTTAATCTGAGATGTGTTTGTGTTCACGGTTACTCCAACTGTTGTACAGAGGTTTTGAGGTTATTTTCTGAGCTGTTGTAACTACCTGCTATCCTATTCTGCTCTAGTGGTCAGTGTCCCTGCCTTACCCACTGAGTGGACAGACATTTCTGCCAACACACTATCCTTTGGGCAGGACAGCTCTGCAATTGCTATAGCTGATCTGTAATATCAGCAAAAAATGCAAACTGTGACGGTCACCTTTTTGTAAGATGGGCTTGAAGCCTTTAATGCTGCGTCAGTTATCATGATCAGTTGCCATGAACCATAGAGAACTGCAGAAATCAGTGTGGATTTCATTAATTCATTGTTTATGGGGCAATGGGAGATCAAATCAATGGAAACTAAGAGTCAGTGTCCACAAAATTAGATTTCATGGTGCGTTTGTTTCCACTTAGCAAAATGAAAACACCTTTAGGTCTGCATCACCATTACCTGACAAAAACATCTGTCCATCTACCCATGTAACTTAAACATACAATGGCAGTTGCACATATAAATCCTTTGCAGGTACTGTCATATGAACACACCAAGTCCTAGAAATGCTAATAAATACCTAGGCCAGGGTTAACCAACTGGCGGCCCATGGGTGGTTTTATTTGCCCCCCCCCCCCCCAAGTTTTGTAATTATGTTCTGGCCCCCCATCCATCCACCCCCAAAAAAGTCCCGTGGCTGAATGTAGTTGATGATCCCTGACCTAGGCTGTCATTATGTAGGCTATAAAAAAACGAATATATAACTCTTCATTCGCTTAAAAGTGTTGTCCTCTTGCAATGTTTTGTTCCGTATGATATGTGTCCATCCACAGGGTGGCAGAACATTGAACAGAAACACATTCTCATCCAGCTGTAAGTCACCTAGAATCATTCTACAACCCTGAGAAGTACACACATTCTTTATGTACCTCGGAAAATACAACCCATGTCTTTTACATTCAGTACATTCATAGTACACATGACGTCATAGACATCTTTTGTACAGCCAGACCCAATACTTATTTTCGTTTAGCCGAATCCTGTGATGTTTCTATAACAGCTATATGGGTGCAATTTCTTTGCTTCATTTCAATTACAGAAAGCCATGTCAAAGGACTGCATCATCTGTGTCAGATTGTGGATTGAGATGTGATCATAATGACAGTTTATGATCAGAGCTGATTGTCTGTATTTCTTTACACCTTGTTTATGGTTTCTGTAAAAAGGAAATGATGGTGGTTGATATTATCAGTGTTGGTAGTTGCAATGGTTAAATGTTGTTTTTTGGTGTATTCACATACAGTCGGACACATTTGAGGCTATATAGTGTGGAGGAGCATATAAACCAAGACAAAGGGTGAATATCTCTACCTGGACTCATAGTTAGAGTTTATTACATTATCTTAACAAAGGCTTGGCCAAACCCAAGTTAAATAGGATGATTGCATGATTCTCAACAGAAGACAACTTTATTGCATCACATAATGCTATTTTGCACCAACTTCCACACTCCAAAACTCACCTTTCAAAGGCAATTGGGTCCCTAACAATGTGTTTTTTTTGGGCCACCGCAACACTTCTCTCCTGTCCATCCCGCCTGGCCTATGTTAGTCTGGGGCCTGGGTCAAGGCAGAGGTTGACCTCTGACCAGTGAAGCTCAGACCCAGAAGTCATTAAAAAAACGGTCACCTAAGTAACTAACAGATAGCATAGCGTTGACGATCTATCCATGCAGCCAGACAACAACGGAGGCGACCAAAATCCCAGTGATTGAGTGTGGCCTGTCTGCTGCCTGGCCCCCCACTGGGAGAGCTAAAAGAGGATAAGGAACGGTTAACCCTAGAGAATGGGAGATTAACTCCTATCTATCTACTAAGGACAAAATGGTGGCTTGTCCTCTAATATCTCTATACCCCAGTTGGGTATTTTCATTGGAGCCCCGGTGTGATGACAATAGAATTGATTACATTTACGGTGTTTCACATGCCAATGATCGACATGCTCCTTCACACACTTAAAACCTCTTGGTGGAATTAAAACATTTCCTTAATGGCAGAATGTGCTTTACCTCTTTTTTTCTTCCTTTTTATGTTTTGACACAATGTTAATTTATTCATGGTATATACAGTATTTCTGTAGCTATGCTTTCTGTCTTAGATTATTAACTAGATGAATTGCAGTTAAAATCATGTTGAGCAGGTATGAGCTAGTGATCATGTAAATACTATTTTTGTTTGGTCTGAATTAATTATTCATTTTCTGAAATATCTTGTCTTTGTTGGTTCTTCACTGAATTACAAATTGTGTAATGTTTTGGACAGTCAATTATTTCTTTGCAGGGTATTTCTTTATTTTCACCCAAAATGACCTCTTTATTTTTGGAGCCAAGAGGAAGCTCCTATCTTGCGTTACCCATATTACTATGTGTCTCTGTATCACTTGAAATCCAATTTAAAAATAAAATGTTATTTATAAGGCATCTGTCAAAGACTTGTGGGAAAGCAAATCAAGTGTTTTTTTTCTTTCTTTCTTTTTTTACAAACACAAATGTCATTTTATTTACAACATTAAATCATTGTCAGATTAAGCACTGTAAAGCGGTTTGAGGGTGACAATTCATTTGAAATCCAGTTCCGATTTAACTCTGCTGCTGATGACGCTAAGCTGTTGTCATGGAAACAGAGGCCATCTTCTCATGACTCAAGTCATCATCCACTGTACAGCTCAGTCTCCACATCAGTCTTTCCATAACAGCGAATATGGAATCAACAGGCTTGATGTGGCTTATGACAAAGACTAACAAAATAAAACAACCAATAATGTTAGTTCCATGTCCATGGTCCCAGTTCCTTGCTGATTTTCTACAGTGAAGGAAAGACTAAGATTTCACTCATTCCAGTTGTCTTGACTACAATCAAGGCACTTCTGTCTGTTACTTTCTCCTTTGGTCTCTCTCCCGACTGTGTTCTTTGTGCTTACTTGACCTCTCTCTCTCCCGGTCTCTGTTCTTCTCGCTCTCCCGGTCTCTGTTCCTATCACTGTCCCAGTCCCTCTCTCTCACTCTGTTCCTCTCATTGTCCCTCTCTCTTTCTCCCTCCCTAGTTCTGTCTCTATCCCAGTCTTGGTTCTCTCTCTCCTCCCTGCCTGTCCTCTTGCTCTCCAACTGCAGTCCTCCATCTCTCCTCTTCTCATCCTCCCTGGGCCTCTCCCTCTCTCCTTCTCTCTCCCCATGGCGATTTCGGAACCCTCTGTCCACCTGCCTGTGGGTGTCTCGTTGGTTCCGTGCCTCTGCCCCAGGCCCTGATCTCTCTCCCCTGGGCCCCAGCCACTCCTCTGGCGCCCCTCGCTGGCTGTAGTCATAGCCCAGGTCCTCCACCTCCTGCTTCACCCTCACTGCCAGGGCAGGCCCAGGGGGAGACCCAGGGGGAGTCTGGGCTAGCCTCTCCCTCTGCTGCCTATCCTCCTTCAGAGCCTTCTTCTTCTTTTTCTTCTTCTCTTTCTTGTCTGGGTTGGAGATGAAAGAAAAGACAGGGAGGGTAAGGTCAGGTAAGAGGAGATGATATGAACATGACTGTGACACCTATTTGAGACACACTGACAGCCAAGTTATCCTCCACTACTCGGGTGTGCTTGCCTTGCAAATATACTGAACAAAAATATAAAATGCAACATGTAAAGTGTTGGTCCCATGTTTCATGAGCTGAAATAAAAGATCCCAGACATTTTCCATACGCACAAAAATCTCTCAAATTTTGTGCACAAATTTGTTTACATCCCTGTTAGTAAGCATTTCTACTTTGCCAAGGTAATCGATCCACCTGACCGGTGTGGCATATCAAGAAGCTGATTAAACAGCATGATCATTAAACAGGTGCACCTTTTGCTGGAGACAATAAAAGGCCACTCTAAAATGTGCAGTTTTGTCACACAACACAATGCCACAGATGTCTCAAGTTGAGGCAGCGTGCAATTGGCATGCTGACTGCAGGAATGTCCACCAGAGTTGTTGCCAGAGAATTGAATGTTCACTTCTCTACCATAAGCCGCCTCCAATGTCGTTTTAGAGAATTTGGCAGTACGTCCAACCGGCCTCACAACTGCAGACCACGTGTAACCACGCCAGCTCATGACCTCCACATCTGGTCTGAGACGAGCCACCCGGACAGCTAATGAAACTGTGGGTTTGCACAACCGAATAATTACTGCAAACTGTCAGAAACGGTCTCAGGGAAGCTCATCTGCGTGCTCGTCGTCATCACCAGGGTCTTGATCTGACTGCAGTTCAGCGTCGTAACCGACTTCAGTGGGCAAATGCTCACCTTCGATGGTCACTGGCATGCTGGAGGAGTGTGCTCTTCACGGATGAATCCCGGTTTCAACTGTACCGGGCAGATGGCAGACCGCCTGTATGGCGTTGTGTGGGCAAGCGGTTTGCTGATGTCAACATTGTGAACAGAGTGCCCCATGGTGGAGGTGGGGTTATGGTATGGGCAGGCATAAGCTGCGGACAATGAATACAATTGCATTTTATCGGTGGTAATTTGAATGCACAGAGATACCGTGATGAGATCCTGAAGCCCATTGTCGTGCCATTCATCCGCCGCCATCACCTCATTTTTCAGCATGATAATGCACAGCCCCATGTCGCAAGGCTCTGTACACAATTCCTGGATGCTGAAAATGTCCCAGTTCTTCCATGGCCTGTATAGTCAACAGACATGTCACCCATTGAGCATGTGTGGGATGCTCTGGATCAACGTGTACGACAGCGTGTTCAGGTTCTCGCCAATATCCAGCAACTTCGCACAGCCATTGAAGAGGAGTGGGACAACATTCCACAGGCCACAATCAACAGCCTGATCAACTCTATGCAAAGGAGATGTGTCTCGCTGTATGAGGCAAATGGTGGTCACACCAGATACTGTCTGGTTTCTGAACCATGACCCTACCATTTTTTAAAGATATCTGTGACCAATAGACGCATATCTGTATTCCCAGTCATGTGAAATCTATAGATTAGGGCCTAATGAATTTATTTCAATTGGCTGATTTCCTTATATGAACTATAACTCAGTAAAAACGTTAATTGTTGCGTTTATATTTTTCTTCAGTGTACATTCTACTTTAGTCAAAGCTCTTGTATTTCAAATCGCCAGTCTAATGAAGCTGACACAAGCTGCAGACCTGTACCATCTAGACCTCCAGTAGTCTCTTCTCCTCTCACCTTTCTTGGGCTTCTTTACGGGTACGGCATACTGCTCCTCTTCTTCGGACTCGGAGGATGAAAGGTCGGGTAGTTTGGGGGCACAGCCCTCCTCCCTCAGGCGCTTGGTGATATCGTCCATGTCCTCATTGTCTTTGGGAGGGCGGTAGTTCAGCACGTGGTCCACTCGGATGGTCCGCCCCTTTATCTAGATACCGAGAGAGACACACAGACCACAACACAATGAGATAGTAATTTACAAATCTTTTGCCAGTCCCAAAGCTTTTGCATTGTATAACCATTCATTTATGCATGTTTACTGGCTTGTTCTTTCTCCCTCAGCTGTGAGTGATTGCCATTCATTACCTTGATCCCATTTAAGTTATCCACAGCCAGGATGGTGCTTCTCTGGTCCTCATAGCAGATGAAGCAGAAGCCTTTGGATTTACCCGTCTTCTTGTCACGCACTAGGTTGATGTTGGCTATCTCTCCATACCTGCAGACACACATTAAGCAGGAATAAACTTAATCTAATGCAAAGAACACTTGATTTATTCAGAATGAAAATGGGGAAGGTTAAGAGGGAATAGGCGAAGATAAGCATGGAAAGACACAGGTAATTGGATAGAAAAAAAAACAGATGAGAAGGACAGGGGGAGAGAAAGGACACAGTGAGTGGAGAGATTGGAGGAAGGGGTGTATGTATGGGACTCACTGAGAGAAGACACAGACGATGTCACCTTCCGTCAGCTCATATGGAAACCCACCTGTAGGTTAAAACAGAAAAACAAGTTAATAACAGGCTTATAACTCTGCTGGTGAGATGGACTAGAGAGCAAGCCACTGACTGAATAAACAAACCACTACTTTGCTGCCACCTACTGGTCAGCTGACAGTACACCCAAAACATGGCTGGAGAAGTATTGTAATAATAATATAATAATATGCCATTTAGCAGACGCTTTTATCCAAAGCGACTTACAGTCATGCGTGCATACATTTTTTTTTTGTGTGTATGGGTGGTCCCGGGGATCGAACCCACTACCTTGGCGTTACAAGCGCCGTGCTCTACCAGCTGAGCTACAGAGGACCAGGGTTCAGATCAATCCTATTCAATCACAGGGGTGTCTCTGACACAGCCTCTTACCGATGAAGATCCAGGCGCTGTCTTTATACTCAGAGTGCCATGACACATTTTCCTTCACCCCCAATGAGGCCTCTCTCTCATTCAGCTCGTTGATCAGCTTCACCTTGGTCAGGGGACTGCAGGACAGGGAGAGATGGAGAGGGACAGAAGGATAGAGAGTTTAACATGCAATAGAATGCAGAATCTTCTCTGCTGATCCTGTCTTGGCTATTTTCTTGACCACCATGGCCAAGCTTTTTTTTTACACCATGGGGTCGTCTCATGAGTAACTACAGACCATAATATATGGCTAGTTAGCTAATATATATATATATATATATATATAGTAGTGTGTATTCATATAACGTTAACATTAGTAACAGTAGCTCCTAGCTAGCAACAATTCATTAGCAAGCTAACGTTAGCCATGTTGACTGATGTTGCAGTACACGTTAGTAACTGGCTAGTTAGCTGGCTAACTAGAGCTCTTCACATGACCACCCCATTACACCTCAGTGACTAACTAGATAAGTACAGTCAATACAAAATGTAAAACACATAATCGGTCACTTATACTCACTTCATTATGAAGTTATCATGAACATAAACACGATGCTAACTTTAAAATGGAGATCTCTGACCAACATCCGTTTCTGCCGTGTCATAGTACGCAGAGGGGTTTGTGGGAAGTGTAGTTCAAAAGCATGCTCTATTCTTACATTTTCCATTTTAGTCATTTAGCAGACGCTCTTATCCAGAGCGACTTACAGTTAGTGAGTGCATACATGTTTTTTTAATTTTATTGTTTAAAAAAAAAAATTCTTCTTCTTCTTCAGTGGGTTTTATGGCGGTCTACAACCCAAAAAGGCGTATTGCCGCCACCAACTGGACGGGTTGAACCAAAACAAGGTAAAAAGAAAATCCATACGTGATAGGGAAACTAACTTAATCCACCCAAATAAAAATAGCACATTAACAAAACAAAACTCCCACTTCTTCCTTCTTTCAATTCTCTATATCTCCCTTCTCAGGCTCTAGGGCCTGAGAGGGTCGTACGGCTTGTGACAATATTCCATGTAACTCCTTCGCCGAGAAATCTTTCAGCCCCAGGAATCGCTCTGCCGCTTCCACAATGATTTATATCGTCCTGGACCTTCTCTCCACCTTGGCAGTGCCATTTATCACCATAGCTATAAAGGCCACAAAGTCCACCTTCTTAACCTTTAAAATGTCAGGATCCTGCTGGTGAAAGGCAACCCCTGCATGCTCCATTGTTCTCAGTGTTGATAAACTTTTATGATAAAAATCTTACAAACAAGTCCTACAGAACAACTGCATTTCAATATTCAATATTCTATTAAATTCCAAATAGCATTTTGTTATTAAGCAAAAGCTTGCTTCAATGACACTGCATTGGCCTAAACACTGACTTTTATTATCTATTTTCTATATTTGAGCCACTTAGCAGACGCTCTTATCCAGAGCAACTTACAGTTAGTGCATACATTTTTTTCTTCTTCATACTGGCCCCCTGTGGGAAAAGAACCCACAACCCTGGCGTTGCAAGCGCCATGCTCTACCAACTGAGCTACATGGGGCCTAAATGACAGCTACTTTTATAGCACCATCATGCCTCATATCACTAAGTGTAATTTTATTGCCTAGTTGTAAAATATGGACGTATTTATCCTATAAATAAGTGTTTATATGACAAGGAAGTGCCCATGAATGAATAATCAATCATCCAAGCATTCTATAATTTATTTTAAATAGCAACCACTCAAACAGTAATATTCTACTTACCTCATATCAAGGTTTTATCAATATATTTCCACTATGGTAATGTATGAGAAAATAATAAAGCAATTCTACATTGACATTATGAGTAAATCATTTGTAGATAATGTAAAATATTGGCAATAAAACATTACACACATTTCCCATGTACCTCCCTAGTGGCGGTAATAATACACAGTACTTTCCCAAGAAATTAAATACTTTGTCAAACATTTTTTTTAAATATATAATCACTGACTGATCAGAGAACAACAAGTTGTACACAAAAAAAGCTGTTCCCCTTCAAAACACCTACACACCTCTCAGACACACATAGACAGTGAGGTTGATGGGAATGCAGAGAGGGACAAAGTGCATACTTTGCAGAGATAATATCAATTAGGTTAGTGGAGGAAACAGAGCAAAAAAAGCAAATAAGCCCATCTGTTCCATGGTGTAGGTTCCATGATGTCTCCACATCCATTATCTCACTCTGTTATTTTTCCCCATTTGGTTGTTTTTGTCAGTTGGTCGCTGTCGCTAGACATGTGACGTGAACCGTTCTGTCAGAAATGGAAAAAGCTCTAAGCTGCCACAGTAAGCGTTTTCCAAATTGGTTCGATCAACCTCAATGAGTTGTTCTCAAAATGTCTAAGTCATTCACAAGGGGGTTGAGGCAGAAAGCTGTACAGTGTGGCCCTCTTCACTGGTGACCGATGACAAGGTGGGATCCAGGCTCATGGCATCGTTCACAGATATAACAGTATGAGTGGGTATATGCAGCTCTATCTGACATCTTTCACTAGCCTCTAACACGGCTGTGTTCCTGACCCTGTCCTTAACGCAGGAGAAGAGTGTCTCGATCTGCAGCCGCACCTCCCTCTGCCAGCAGGCGTACACCAAAGGGTTAATAAGGGAGTTGGACAGCCCCAGCAGCCACAGGTCATTCTCAAGCACCTTGTACAGCTCACAGGCCTCACACAGCACCTGCACTGCACACACCACAAAGAATGGGCACCAGCAGAGGGTGAAACAGCCCACCAGCAGAGCCACGGTCCTCAGGGCCTTGAAGTGGCCCCAATAGCGGCTGCGCTGGGGCAGCCTGGTGCCGGCCTGGCGGGCCTGGCGGATCTGCCTCTGGTGGCCGCAAGCAATCTTCAGAATGTCCAGGTAGAAGTAGGTGAAGACAGAGAGGATGGGGAAGAAGACGGCACAGAACACCACAATGATGCCCTTGGGACGGATGACAGAGAAGAAGGTGCAAAGGCTGCTGCTGTCGAAGTCTCCCTGCTGGAACTGCCATGCCATGCCTGTGGAGCAGAAGGGAATAAACAACTTTCTATATTTATAGTATTTCTATTATTCATATAAAAATATTGATGTTCATTATCAAGTGTTGGGGTCAATTCAATTCCAATTTAGTCAATTCAGGAAGCAATTCAAATTCACAAATTGATTCTCATCTTATCCCCCTGAATTGAAATGTAACCCTGTTGTTAGGGACATGTGTGCCCTCTGAAATAAGATAATTAAGGTTAGTTGTTCCACCTGGTAGGAAGCCAACGGTGAGGGATACCATCCACAGCGCTACCAGGGCTCCAGTCACGGTCCACCTCCCAGTGAGCTGGGAGTAGCGCAGCGGCAGCTTGATGGCTACGTAGCGGTCCAGAGAGATCAGGAACATGGACAAGATGGACGCCGTTGAGGGGGAGATGACGAAGGCCATGCGGAGTAGACACTTGGTCTTCTGTGTGGAGTGCATTAGGAGTAGCGGTCGAGTAGTTGGAATAGTTCCATTGCTCACGGTATTGTAATTTTTAAACACGTCAGTGACAATGCCAGTGATAGCCAGGCCCACCAGGATATCTGCCAGAGCCAGGTTGAGCACGAAGCACCAGCTCTGACTGCCTTTCCTGCGCATCAGCTGAAAGAGAGCAGCAGCCACCAGCAGGTTGGTGGAGATGATGAGGAGAGAGGCCACACTCAGGACCCATCCCATAATTTCTGGTGACATGGAGGTGTAGACAACAGGGGTTAGTATGGGTCTCACACCTGGCATCATGGCAGTGAGGTTGGCACCTGACTCTCCCATCCAGCTTGTCTTATTGTAAGCTGCCATTGAGTCCTTTACAAGATCTAAGTCCTGTATATCTGTGAGATTCCCCCCTCAAAACAAATAAATTATATCCACCAACATCCACTCCTACTGTGGTATATTGGTATCCAAAGACCAATGTTTTCCTCTTTGTATTGACTTCTGTAAATATTTTCTTGTTAATATCCTTCTCTGTCAAACTCCTTGTAAAACAGAAAGAAATTCCACAACGATAAACTGTGCTATTAAGTAAAAAGCTCTTTAGGAAAAAATTAAAAACGTTCAGCGGGTACTCATCCACTCCTGATGTGCCTTCGCTCCTGAGAGGGCAAAGTATCTCCCCTCCTTTCTCGCCTGCAGTTGTGGTTCCTCTGCATCCGACCCTTGTCCAGCCTGCTATCTGATTATCATCCCAGTCCCCTCAGAGAGTCCCTAGTGTAGACATCCGGGATGACTGGGCCATTTTCCACAAGGGTTCACCACAACCACTGAATCTGGGTTAATGACAGTAGTCTGCAGTATAAACATCAACACTAAGATAGATCTGCTTTTGATGCCATTTTATCTTCATCATAAAGCCATTAGTGAGTTTATTTTTGCCCATTCATTGATGACAATAAGTAGGGCAATAAGGAAAGAGAGGAAGAGTTTTCTGTGGCATGTCTCTTGGGAAGACTCATCTGCTTTGGGAAGACCCATCTGCTTTGGGAAGACCCATCTGCTTTGGGAAGACCCATCTGGCAGTTGTCTTTAGGCTAATATGTGGGTCCTTTAGAAAACACACAGAATAAAACAAATCCAGATCGAGGCACAAAAGGAAAAACAACCATCTACTCCCATTTACAGTACTATAATAAATAAAGAGTATCTGCTGTCTTGGGTCCACTAGTGTCTAAGATGAGTTCCAGCAAAAAGGAGGTATAGAAGGAATTTTCATCTTGAGAAGCCCCTTCATCTTGGCACACAACCCTAAACATTCACAGTGCTGTACAAAATATGCTGTGACTAACCACTGTATCTATGTTTCATCAGTGGCTCCTCATGGCTAAGGGTTTTATGTATGTATTTACACAGCTTTAAACAAACTGAGAGGCAAAATACACGATAGGGAGAGCGAGAGAACGAGAGAGTTTATATTTGCCAGACAGGATGACGTGAATCTCACTACATGTACAGTATACTGTATGTTATCAGTCAACTACTTCTGTTTTACGTATGGGAAGCATTGCTTTGGGAGACATAAATCTACCCTGCATAAATGTCTACCCAACTTCCTCATAAGAGTATGCAGTTACACTCTCTTCTCTCTCTCTCTCTGTAACTATTTCTGAACTCCCTCCTGCTCGTTTTAACCCTCAGCAACAACAACCCAACCAGGTCAGTCCAAACAGTATCACCAGGGTCTCATCAAATACACAGTGATATTTTCATGTAGAGTAAAGATCCCCTTTTTATCACAGAGGGGGAAAAAACACAATAACCTCTGGCTCCCACAGACATACAATGTGGGAATGTTATTCATCCCTACTAGACCTTTCAGTGCCATTCAAAACTTCTGTTGGTCAGCAGTAATTGTGCCCACTGCCCCTGTACCAGTAGGCATTCTCACCCTGTTTACGCCTAGCACTGCCCACTCCTCACCTACGGGTTGCCTTGGCCAGAAACTTCTTGAAGGTGTTATTATTCTTTGAATAGACTACCTCCTGTCTTGGGCTTGATCTCTGAAGCTGACCTGAGTATTCTCTTCTGAAGATGACTTTAAAGAGACGACTGCTGTCCATTTTGTTGTGCTGTGTCTACTGTGTCGCTTCGCTCTTCTGCTTGAAGCCCAACCGCACCAACTGTGTCTCCATCAGCGCCCGGTGAGTCTGTGTCAGTATGTGTGTGTACAGGTGTGAGTGAGTGTGTATGTGTGTGTGTATTTCAGTGTATATGTGTGTCTGCCTGTGTGTTTGTATGTGAGGGGCAGAAATATCTTAGTCATGATATGGGATGTAAAAAGAAGATGGAATATGTGGCTACTGAGTTACTGTTTTCCATGTCTTAAAAGACTCACGGTTAGGGTCATATTAGGCGGCAGGTAGCCTAGTGGTTAGAGTGTTGGGCCGGTAACTGAAAGGTTGCTGGTTTGAATACCTAAGGTGAAAAATCTGTTGATGTGCCTTTGAGCAAGGTACTTAACCCAATTTGCTCCAGGGGTGCCGTACTGCTATGGCTAACCCTGTAAAACAACACATTTCACTGCACCTATCTAGTGTATGTGACAACACAACATCCATTTATTTTATTTTATTTTTATTAGGGTAATTATTCATAAAGTAATTCATGAAGTTATAATGAAGGCATCTTTGCTCAATATTTATTACAGCATGTTAAACACAACCTTGGCTTGAACAATCTGCTGTGTTTGGCACCACTCACTGCCCATGTCTTTTGTGTTCTTTTGACAAACCATTTTAGGAATCTCATGACAGTTGTCCAGCAGCTGTACCAGCGAGTCATGAGGCTAATGCGCACCACTCTCTGATCCCATGGAGCCGAAGTTGAGTCCCTCAACACTCATCATCACCAGGACTGAGACACTCTCCTGCCCTGCCCTGTCCATAAAATGGAGATGACCTGCAGAGCACCTGCCACAGACAGAGCAAGAGGACGAAAAGCTCTCATTGCAGTTCACTGTAATAAAGCGTGAGATCGTTTTTTAAAAATTATATTTTTTATTGATGCAGTTGATTTTGTTGAGTTCCTAGTGGGCCTTAACTTAACTGCATAAGCTTTGTGTTAGTGCCCCAATTTCCCTGCATTATAATGTAAGTGCTGGAAAAGCCAATTGCAGGATAATTCAAAGATGTCATTCATTTCATGCCCTCTTGTGGAAAACTGAGCAGGCATTTCTGCATGATCAAGAAATTAATGCTGTCAATGAACTTCAACGCTATCACTGGACATGGAAAAGATTCCCTGCTGGAATTGATGTGATTGAGTTTTGTTAAATCTACTCCATGAATGCAGTATAGGTGCTGTCTTCATAAAATATATTTTTTCCTTGTGCAAATGATGGGAAGATAGGCTATGTTTAATAGATTTGTACCACTTGATTAGCTAAATGTTATAACAGTTGAGTATTTTGTCATTAATGCCATTAAAACTGATATAATAAACTTTACATTTGTTTTTCAAGTGCCAGTTTAATTTTTATAAGCCTATATGTTGAAAAGACGTATTTTCTGAATGAAAGGTTAGAAGATGTCTTTTCCGGATGTCGAAAATACATCTTATACTGAATGTCGAAAATATGTCTTATACGGACATCAAAAATAGGTATTTTCTGGACTTTGAAAATAGTAATTTTCTGGACATTGAAAATACGTATTTTCAGGACGTTGAACTCAGGTGCATTTTAGGTGCTGAATGAAAGGTAAAAATACGTAATTGATTCTGTGGCCAAATTTCAACTGCTATACATTCTCAATTAAGTAAGCATTATATCGCAATACAAATTTTTCATGCCTCTTAATAAGAAAGAGGAGCCTACTGACGATTGCAACATAATATGTATTATGGCTCCCATCTATCACATGCACTTATGTTAGCTTTTTCAAAAGCTTTAAAACTGATAGCAATGACATTCAAAGTAGTCCATTATACAGAATAAACCAACAGACCACCAACTACAATAACATTCTGAGTAACGGTTACAGATTTATTTTTTATTTCTATGACTGTGATACAGTGTGTTGTTGTTTATCTACCGTAGCATTTATGTCTATGATTGGTTCAGATTTATAGACCAATTATATAGTCTATGTTTGGGCCAAATATAGGCCGGTCCGGACCGGACGTCTGTGGACGTCCATGATTGGTTCAGATTTGGTCTGGTCCGGTCCAAAAATCAACGTCCGTAGACATTGAAATCAAGGCCGGTCCGGACAAGACAAAAAAAAGAAGTGGCCTGACGTGCTTTGTGGGTTTCCCTCACAACATAATCTGGTGTAATAGATAGTATGATTTATATTTACCTAGTACTACATGATAGATGGGGGAGGATGGACATTTTGAGTAGGCAGGTGGGTGTTTGGAAGGGCAAAATGGGATCAGTTTCAGGAGCTAAGTGAGCAGGTGATGGCTCGGGTGGATATGAGTGGATATTATAAATAACTTGGTGAGAACAGCTTTAGTGGGGGCAACTACTGATACTATACTTAAGAGTTCAGGGAGGAGGAGGAGGAGGAGGAGGAGGAGGAGGAGGAGGAGGAGGAGGAGGAGGAGGAGGAAAGCAGTCCCATGGTGGACAGAGTAGTGTGGGGCAATGGTGAGGAGTAGGAACAGGGCATTTAGAGTACTGAAAAGGATGCATAGCTTCCAACATCTGATTCAGTATAAGCAGGCCCAGACCCTGGTGTGGAGAACTATCTGTCAGGCAAAGAGGTCATGTTGGCGTCGGTTCTGTGACACCATTGGAAGGGCGACACCTGTGGGCGAAGTGTGGGGGATGATTAAGAGGATGAGGTCAGAAGGGAGTGGGATTATCCAGTGTTGACGAGTGGGGAGGATGTGGCAGAAACAGATGAGGAGAAGGCAGAGATGATGGACAAAGAGTTTGTCTAAGTGCATAGCTCGGCAAATTTGTCAGAGGAGGGGCAGAGGGGGAGAGAGAGCACGAGAGAGGAGCATCCTGGAGTGCTGATAGGAGGGAGGATGTAAATGATGCGTTAAATGCACCATTTACCATGGCAGAGATGAAAAGGATAATAGGTAAGGCTGGGTTAACTTCACCTGTGAAAGATGAGGTGTGCTATGTTATGTTGGCCCATCTTAGTGATGAAGCACTGGATAAGGTATTGGTGTTGTACAACAGAGTGTGGGAGGAGGGGAAACTACCAGGCAGCTGGAAGGAGGCAGTGGTTGTACAAATCCGGAAGCCAGGGAAGGACCCAACGAGGCCAAGAAGCCATCGGCCAATAGCTTTAACATCACTTGTATGTAAGATTATGGAACGTATGATTACGGAGAGGCTAACTTCCTTCCTGGAGAGCAGGGGGCTAGTATCGCCAAATCAGAGTGGGTTTAGGAAGGGGAGGGGAACTATGGACCCAGTGCTCTGCTTAGAAGCAGAGGTCAGGAAGGCTCAGGTAAACAAGGAGACTGTTGTAGCTGTCTTTTTTGATGTGGAGAAGGCGTATGATATAATGTGGAAGGAGGGGTTGTTAATCAAGCTTGATATTATGGGGGTAGGAGGAAGAACGTACAACTGGATAAAGGATTTCCTGTTTGGAAGGTCTATCCAGGTGAGGGTAGAGAAGTCTCTATCAGGCAGCTACCTGGTGGATAACGGTACACCACAGGGGCGCGTGATTAGTCCTCTGTTGTTCTCAATCATGATCAATTATGTTTACTCTCAGGTATGGCTGGATATTGGGAGGTCATTATGTGCAGATGATGGGGCCTTATGGAAGAGGGGAAGAAATGTGCCATGCATAGTCAGGAAGGTACAGGAAGCAATTGAGTGATGGGCGGTGGGCATTAATGTGGAGATTCAGGTTCTCTGTAGAGAAAACTCAGATAGTGTTCTTTACCAGGAGAAAGGTGGGAGATGAGGTACGCTTGAGGTTATATGGGAGAAACTTATGTTAGCTTATGTTAGCTTTTTCAAAAGCTTTAAAACTGATAGCAATGACATTCAAAGTAGTCCATTATACAGAAACTTGGAGAGGGTGGGGGCCTTCAGGTTCCTTGTGGTGTACTTTGACACTAAGCTGACCTGGGCAGAACAGATTGAGAGAGTGGTGGGAAAGTGTAAGAAGGTGCTAAATGTGATGCACTGACGGGGAAGGAGTGGGGGACTGGGCGTTCCTCATTGAAGACCATGTATGTTGCATTGATCCAATCTGTAATAGACTATGGCATTATAGCGTATGGTTCGGCAGCCCGGACCTCATTGGAAAGGCTAGATGTCATACAGGGGCAAGGACTCAGAATATGTAGTGGGGCGTTTCGGACCTCCCCAGTGTCTGCACTACAGGTTGAGATGGGGGATATGCCATTGCAGATTAGGAGACAGCAGCTGGCAATTAATTATTGGGTCAACCTACAGGGACATGGGGTGCCTCATCCACGGAAGGGATTTTACAGGCATGCTGGGAACATGAGCGAGGACAGAACATGCAAGGGAGTTTAGTCCAATGGTAGCTATTCCTGTAAACCCACCATGGCTACTCCCGCCTCCAGTAGTTGATCTAGAAGTGTTGGAGAGCCTACGGAAAGATAGGGAGGTTGTTGATCCAGTATGAGGGAGAAGGGGATACAGGAAATTAGCTTAAAGAGTATATTGAGTAGAATGTCATTAGATACAGTCTCAAATATGTTGTCATCAGTGGAGGCTGCTGAGGGGAGGACGGCTCATAATAATGGCTAGAACGGAGCAAATGGAATAGCATCAAACACATGGAAACCAATTGTTTGATGTATTCCACTCATTTGCTCCAGCCATTACCACGAGCCCGATCTCCCCAATTAAGGTGCCACCAACCTCCTGTGGTTGTTATCTTTTTTAAGAGAAACAGGGCTGGCTGGTAGGATTTCGTTTCTCCCTGTCTCTGGCCCACACTCCAGTACAGTAGGTGGCGATAATGCACCATAACGTTGGATGCCAACTGCCGATAAACCCCAACCGAAAAAGAAGAAACTTCCGGTGCCTCATTTCCTGTTTTGGCGCAAATCCACTAGAAATGGAAAGCTACGTAGCCGGATAACTTTTGTGATGTTTTTTATTTATAGAGTTAACCCACTTGACGTCGAAGACATGAGATCCAAAATAAAATAACAGAGCACGACTTTTATTCACATTACAGGTAGGTGCCATTATGTGGTGCTGCGTTTTGTGGAGGGTTTTCTAAATTATTTATAGAACTGTTAGCTAACTAGCCAGCTGGATGTGTCAGTAAGCTAACATGCCGCGCTGCCGGCAGGCTCAGGCCAACATGTTCACTAAATGCACGGGTATTCCGTTGATTTGACTGACATTTCAGATGACTGGGACTCACCTCTATATTTTAAAAGTGTTAGCTGGTGATAGTGTAATAATCAGATAATGACATGACATTGTGTTATCTCGGGGTGAAAATACTGAAGACATTGCTGTCACGCACGTTAACCTTACACACGGTGGTGCGAGCTGGGAATGTAGCAACCAACGCCAATTGAAATGCTTAACAATTTGATTGACTTAAATTTCAGCCAATAGAAATTCCCAACATTTGTGACGGCTCTTTCATGGATCTTTGACAGAGGGTTTCCTTTCCGGCGCAATATTCTGTGACGCTGATTTTATGAGATCTTGTGGAGTAATCAAATCAGGTAACACAATGTTATATGATGTACGGTTACAACAATTTGTTTATTTGTATCTCGGCGGCCTGCTGTTGTTTTTAGCGGGGCTCGATCAGGTAGAAGCGGCCACCACTGAAATGGCCAACCTGAACTGGAAACCGTTCATCTACGGAGGGATGGCCTCGATTGTCGCAGAATTCGGTACGTGATGCACCAAACCCTTTTCAGACTAATTTTTTGAATCATGCATTCATTGCATTATTCTATTCCCACACATGTATAGTAATCATGTTTAGCTGCATAACATTGAGAAGTACTCTGAGATTTGCAGCAGTCTTTCTTATTGAGTGATGGCGATGGCCCTAAATGATGAATGCTACATACAATTATTAATGATGGTACTCCATTGTAGTAGATCTACAGTGACGCAATTGTGTGCAACCCCAAGCAATTATATATGTACTTGTGTAACCTCTTAGATAAACTAACATTCATTTTATTTCACCTCCTTAGAAAAAAAAAACTAAACAATGCAACACCCTATTTGCTGAAAGAAATCACATTGATTTGCACTGCATTGCAATCAGTGCATTGTTAGTCCACCTCATTGCATTTATATACTATTACCTGATCTTAGTTACTGAGGGGTCACTTTGTCATTTGAACTTTGTTCATTGATATACTACCAGGGATCTCTGAACTTAACAATGTTGTCATGATGTTGTCGGTTGTTCTCCCCTCAGGTACGTTCCCCATAGACCTGACTAAGACGCGGCTGCAGGTGCAGGGCCAGTCCCAGTACATGGAGGTGCGCTACCGGGGCATGTTCCACGCCCTGTTCAAGATCGGCAAGGAGGAGGGCATCAAGGCACTGTACTCTGGGTGACCAAAAATAATATGGTTTACACATGTTAGCCTATACACTATGGGGGGGGGGGGTGGGGCGGCGGCAGCAGCAGCATATTACAGTATTTAATATGGTGTGCTATGGTAGAACATATGCCCGTTTGGCATGGGATGGGCATAGATTGACATTAAGGGTTTCCATATTGCACGGGGCAAGTGACCTGAGCAGTCGCACAAGCTGAGACTGCACTCAGGTTGCCCCATTGGGCATCTGTTTTCTATTATTATTATTATTATTATTATTATTATTTTACTGATAACAACCAAAATGCTAAGAATTCCAGTAGTCTGGTCTTTCTGCTTCCTCCCCTTTGTGTATGTGAAAATTAGCTACTTTACGTTTTTGGGCAAGTGAGTACGTCTTTGTCAATAACTTTTAGTATTTGTAGCTACTTTTTAAGTAAATGCCTGCAGTCAACTTGTGCAATACTTTAGGACATAAAGCAAATTCTGTTCTTCATTTTACCTGCCACATTATTTTACATTATGAAGCTTACATTTACATTTTACATTTACATAATTTAGCAGACGCTCTTATCCAGAGCTTACTGTAGTTCCCCAGAGCAGTTGAGCCAGTCACGTGTTTGTAAATAGCACAACGGGAGAAAGCGGGAGCTGGTGAGTCCAGCTGTGTATTGACAGGAGTCGTGTTTTATATTGAAAGTCAATGATTTTTGTTGTTGCTTCAGTAGCATGATCAGGGACGTGCAAAAATAGTTTTTCTTCACAGAAAATATATTATTGCAACACTTTCGGCAGGAAGTAGCTTTATTTCCATCAGATGACAACAGAAGTGCAATGCTATTTGGCTGGCAGCCTCACACGTAGGCCTAAATGAGCTTACAGTGAAAAAGCAAGGTATTTTTTGCAGTAAATGATGCATGGCCATCACATTTCTAATGTTTATAATAGAAAGAATGAAGCCAGCTACATTTCCTAATGTTTTGCTTAAAGTTAGTCTTGCATTTTACCAGAGAAAAGTAGGCTGGCTACACTAAGAAAAGTACCGGAGAAAAGTAGCTACACATCAGTCAGAGGGCTGTCTGCTGATAGAATGGCCATTCGTGAATTCTCATCTGAGTGGAGAAGTGCAACTGAAGCACAGAATTAGTCTGACGGCGAGCAGAAATTACAATAAGAAGCATTTTACATCTACGTTTACAAAACGCAGCAAGATACTTCTTATGCGTGTTTATTTATTTATTTTTCCTGCGTAAAAAATTCAGAATTCTGCATTAACGCGACTCCTAAATTTTAATTGCAAGTTAATAAAAGTAAGTGGCAGAATTAATAAGGTGACGGGGCATCATTCTGTTAGCTTTCTGCAATGTTTGAGAAGTCAAAGCCCTTTGGATGAGTTATCTGTACAGCTGCCACTATCTTGATTTCCTAGCGTTTTTTTCTCCTCTCCTATCTTGGCCCGTCTTCTCTGAGCGTAGCAGGCCCCTTGCCCTAGCGACTCCACACACAAAGCATGTAGCCTACACTTGCTGCTCATTGGCGTCCCTTGTGTACTAAGCCGGTAATACTGTGTATCCCGGTATGAGAGAAGGACGGTATGACATTTTACATTTTTTACATTTTTAGTCATTTAGCAGACGCCCTTATCCAGAGCGACTTACAGTTAGTGCATACATTATTATTATATATATATTTTTTCATACTGATAAACTGCAGAAGATTACAATTCTGGCATCTCTTCTTCCTCATCCGTTTCACTAGTAGGATTGTGTGGTATCCAGATGCCCAATCCTACATGTGAAACGGATGAGGAAGAAGAGATGCCAGAATTGTAATCTTCTGCAGTTTATCAGCATTGATTAATTTCAGTGCAGCTGACTAGGGAAATTGTTGCAAATGTCTCAGTGCATTGTTCCCTTCAGTGACATGGCAAATGTTTTTACAGCCAAAACAAAATATGTGCTCCATTCATGGTATGCACAGGATGACATTACAGGACTACTGCAAGAGAGCCAAGAAATTCAGGTCAGCTCAACATCCTGGCCTGAGTGTCAACATCCAGGACACAATGTCCAGGTCTGGGTTCTCAGAGAGGCTTTGAAGAGGCTTAGGTCAGAGAATAACAGAATAGAAAACAACATCTTAGATCAGGGATGGGCAAATGCACCCCCTAGTCGGGGTCTCAACTTACTATTGAGAGTAAGAGTAGTAGAATACACAAGGTGGAATTTCGAAATTTGGTTGTGAATCAGCAGTTTTTCTCTTATGTCAGTCACTGACAGTCAGTCAATTAACTCAGTTACTTTTTTTTAGATTGGTAAATTAGTCTAGCCAGCTATCTAAACTTGTAGTAATCATGGTCGAATTACCAACCGGGGGCCCCCGTTGATTTTGTTAGTCACTCAGAAATCATAAAAACTGCACACATTTCTCTCCACCCTATGGCAAAATGTGTAGAATTTAGGAAATAAGCTTTAAAACTGGAAATTTCTCTCCACCCCATGATAAAATGTGTAGAATTGCAGCAAACTTGCTTTAAAAGTACAACATTTTCTCTACGCCCCATGGCAAAATGTGTAGAATTGCAGGAAATGTCAAACAACATTGTTCTTAGGCTAGGGCCCAAAAGACTAGGGCCGGCTCTGACTGCATGTGTGGGTATGCATCCAAGCTCCCGTGTAGCTCAGTTGGTAGAGCATGGCGCTTGCAACGCCATGGTTGTGGGTTCGATTCCCAAGGGGGCCAGTATGAAAAATTGATGCACTCACTAACTGTAAGTCGCTCTGGATAAGAGCGTCTGCTAAATTACTAAAATGTAAATGTATGGATGTGGGTAAGCAGACCCACAAGCCAATGCAGCCCCTCATGATGAGTTCCGATTTTTTTGTGGCCCCCAACCCCATCAAAGTTGCCCATCCCTGTCTTAGATCAAAGGTGCATAGGAGAAGCAACAACTGAAAAATGGTACAAGAGATTCCTACGCTGTGTGTTATACTGGCAAATTGAACATTTTGTTTTTGAAAAGTCATGCTTTGACGAAGGTCTGTGGCCAAAGGGGTGCACTTTTCAATAAATGTTTAATTTGCAAGTATACACCGTGTCCGAGAGTCTCATTTCTACCATTGTAGAACACAGAATTAAACAGAATATTTTTCTTCTTAGTTAGATCATGATCATGTAAACCTGCTCCACTATCCATTAACCTCAAGCCACTCTAATAGAACCTTCTCTTATTCTCAACTATTGACCTCTGAGCTACTGAAATGGAGTCTGGTCTTGTATGTGAAAGCGTGACCTTTTACAAGGAAAGTGGGCAGGCGCTTTAGCACTTCAACCTGGGGGAACACGCTCTTCCTGGCTGTGGTTTTGATCAGGGGACAGCTTTTGAAATACCTGTTTGTTTCTAGACTACCTGAGAGCGGAGTGACCAATGTGATAACAACAATAGTCAATAGTGCGCAACCTAAACAAACTGCAAAAAGCTTATTTGCAAGAGTGTTGCAGGGAACCGAGCTTCCCAGGCAGAATACACATGCCTGCCAACGTCTTGACAGTACTGATGGCAAGGTAATGGGGTGTGAACGTTAGGCAAAACGCTCTTCACTTGTTCATAAAATTGACACTCCCCGAAATGATTCCTGTCTTTCTCTGTGCAGGATCTCCCCAGCTCTCCTGAGGCAAGCCTCCTACGGGACAATCAAGATCGGGACCTACAACACACTGAAGAGGTTATTTGTGACCCATCCGGAAGGTGCGTTTCAATGACTCCCCACTGCTTTCTATCTCGCATCATATTCTCTGTTTGCTCTTTCATTCTTTTTTGTTTGTTTTGCCTTTAACATCCATCTATGGTATGTCCCTGGGAGCTGGTTTAAGCAACAATGCATTGCATACATAGTGCTGTGTCATAGGAAATGGCATGGTCCTGTAATAAGGTTATCTTGTTTGCCTGGTGCCTTCTGCAACTGTATAGACCTTTAGCATGTTGTATAAAAACTGGGCATAAATCTGGAAGCATCATCAGTGGCAAGAAGTCAGTACTAATGAGAGAATGACTGTTTGTGTGGGGTGGTGTTTGTGGATCACACATGAGGGTTGGTCGTATCTTGTGGCATCTACTTTTGCCCTCAGAATTATTTAACATCAGTAGTTTATAATGTCAAGGATCTCCGACATGTACATTAAATCTGGCGACCCCACCCATATAGCTTTTGATCGAGTACTGAACTGCATGTCCCAGCCAAATTCATGTGTGGGACTGACCTTACAAACAGTCATACCAGGGCAGGACCATAAAGTCACCCTTTTACAGCAATGTGTGGAGTGGGGGTTTGGAGGGAAGAAGTTAGCTGGCCAACCTGAAAGGCTAGCGGGGACAGCAGTCAGTACTTGTGACCATACTGTTAATCTGCACAAAAAAACAATCAACAGGGGTTTAAATAAAGCCTGTAATTTTGAAATAGACCATTGCGTTGATTCTTCTGAAGATCAGTGTGTTTTGTTTCTAGGCTTTCCAGTAGAGCTGACAGGGTGTGTTCTCATACTGTCATCAGCAAAAATAACAGTTTGGGAAAACCTGTTAAATACCTGTCTGGACAACCTGCATTGACGCAGATGTCTGAAAACCCAGACCAAGAGTGCCTAACTGCCGTCACTAATGCCCAATATAAACAGGAGACTGGAAGTCTCCATTGCAAGACGGGAACAAATCTCCTCAGTTGTCTATCAATAGGTTTGCATTACTTTAACTGGCGCCAACATGTATTCCCATATCACAGGAAGCAATCTCTACTGAGAGACTGAGTATTTACTGCGCAAACAATTTATAAGATTATTTGAACCTTTGCAGTAGACAAACAAAACCAAACAGAGTTTGACAAGAGATCACCTAGTTCATAGAGGGGTTGACACACTGATTTATCTGAGACTTAATAAGGATTGGGGTTTGTAGGGAGTGGGGGCAGTGCTTCATTTGTAAATCGGGAGGTGCCGGAACAAAAAGTGAGCGCAAGAGGGGGGTGACCTGGGGAGCTCTGCGTTTCATTGCGTTTGCGTAGTGGCACAGAGTAGTAGAGTAAAGGCACTTACAGAAGTTGCACACATGGGGTTTTCTGTTGTTGCCTAGGGTCCGGGGAAAAATATGGCCTTTTATAAACACATTTCATGCAATTCTACGTCATTTTACATGACTGGACACTTTGGAAATGTTTTTTTAATACCGCACAAATGATCGAAATGACAGGCTACTTTGACATTGACAGACTGAGAATCTGAGATCAATAAAAATAACCCTGTCTTGAATCCATCAATAGCCTGGGTGTGTGGAGACACATATTGTAGGCTACAATTGTAGGCTCCTGATAAATTCATGAACTTCTTTGAGGAAAAGATCATGACCATTAGAAAGCAAATTACGGACTCCTCTTTGAATCTGCGTATTCCTCCAGGGCTTAGCTGTCCTGGATCTGCACAGCTCTGCGAGGGCCTGGGATCGGGAGAGACACTTAAGTGTTTTAGTACTATATCTCTTGACACAATGATGAAAATAATCATGGCCTCTAAACCTTCAAGCTGCATACTGGATCCTATTCCTACTAAACTGCTGAAGGAGCTGCTTCCTGTGCTTGGCCCTCCTATGTTGAACATAATAAACAGCTCTCTATCCACCGGATGTGTACCAAACTCACTAAAAGTGGCAGTGATAAAGCCTCTCTTGAAAAAGCCAAACCTTGACCCGGAAAATATAAAAAACTATCGGCCTATATCGAATCTTCCATTCCTCTCAAAAATTTTAGAAAAAGCTGTTGCGCAGCAACTCACTGCCTTTCTGAAGACAAACAATGTATACGAAATGCTTCAGTCTGGTTTTAGACCCCATCATAGCACTGAGACTGCACTTGTGAAGGTGGTAAATGACCTTTTAATGGCGTCAGACCGAGGCTCTGCATCTGTCCTCGTGCTACTAGACCTTAGTGCTGCCTTTGACACCATCGATCACCACATTCTTTTGGAGAGACTGGAAACCCAAATTGGTCTACACGGACAAGTTCTGGCCTGGTTTAGATCCTACCTGTCGGAAAGATATCAGTTTGTCTCTGTGAATGGTCTGTCCTCCGACAAATCAACTGTACATTTCGGTGTTCCTCAAGGTTCCGTTTTAGGACCACTATTGTTTTCACTATATATTTTACCTCTTGGGGATGTTATTCGAAAACATAATGTTAACTTTCACTGCTATGCGGATGACACACAGCTGTACATTTCAATGAAGCATGGTGAAGCCCCAAAATTGCCCTCGCTAGAAGCCTGTGTTTCAGACATAAGGAAGTGGATGGCTGAAAACTTTTTACTTTTAAACTCGGACAAAACAGAGATGCTTGTTCTAGGTCCCAAGAAACAAAGAGATCTTCTGTTAAATCTGACAATTAATCTTGATGGTTGTAAAGTCGTCTCAAATAAAACTGTGAAGGACCTAGGCGTTACTCTTGACCCTGATCTCTCTTTTGACGAACATATCAAGACTGTTTCAAGGACAGCTTTTTTCCATCTACGTAACATTGCAAAAATCAGAAATTTTCTGTCCAAAAATGATGCAGAAAAATTAATCCATGCATTTGTTACTTCTAGGTTAGACTACTGCAATGCTCTATTTTCCGGCTACCCGGATAAAGCACTAAATAAACTTCAGTTAGTGCTAAATACGGCTGCTAGAATCCTGACTAGAACCAAGAAATTTGATCATATTACTCCAGTGCTAGCTTCCCTACACTGGCTTCCTGTTAAGGCAAGGGCTGATTTCAAGGTTTTACTGTTAACCTATAAAGCGTTACATGGGCTTGCTCCTACCTATCTTTCCGAGTTGGTCCTGCCGTACATACCAATACGTACGCTACGGTCACAAGACGCAGGCCTCCTAATTGTCCCTAGAATTTCTAAGCAAACAGCGGGAGGCAGGGCTTTCTCCTATAGATCTCCATTTTTATGGAACAGTCTGCCTACCCATGTGAGAGACGCAGACTCGGTCTCAACCTTTAAGTCTTTACTGAAGACTTATCTCTTCAGTAGGTCATATGATTGAGTGTAGTCTGGCCCAGGAGTGTGAAGGTGAACGGAAAGGCTGGAGCAACGAACAGCCCTTGCTGTCTCTGCCAGGCCGGTTCCCCTCTCCACTGGGGTTCTCTGCCTCTAACCCTGTTGCAGGGGCTGAGTCACTGGCTTGCTGGTGCTCTTTCATGCCGTCCCTGGGAGGGGTGCGTCACTTGAGTGGGTTGAGTTACTGACGTGATCTTCCTGTCTGGGTTGGCGCCCCCCCCTTGGTTTGTGCTGTGGTGGAGACCTCTGTGGGCTATACTCGGCCTTGTCTCAGGATTGTAAGTTGGTGGTTGGGGATATCCCTCTAGTGGTGCGGGGGCTGTGCTTTGGCGGAGTGGGTGGGGTTATATCCTTCCTGTTTGGCCCTGTCCGGGGGTTTCTTCGGATGGGGCCACAGTGTCTCCGGACCGCTCCTGTCTCAGCCTCCAGTATTTATGCTGCAGTAGTTTATGTGTCGGGGGGCTGGGGTTAGTTGGTTATACCTGGAGTACTTCTCCTGTCTTATCCAGTGTCCTGTGTGAATTTAAGTATGCTCTCTCTAATTCTCTCGTTCTCTCTTTCTCTCTGAGAACCTGAGCCCTAGGACCATACGTCAGGACTACCGGGCATGATGACACCTTGCTGTCCCCAGTCCGCCTGGCCTTGCTGCTATTCCAGTTTCAACTGTTCTGCCTGCGGCTACGAAACCCCTACCTGTCCCAGACCTGCTGTTTTCAACTCTTAATGATCGGCTATGAAAAGCCAACTGAGATTTATTCCTGATTATTATTTGACCATGCTTGTCACTTATGAACATTTTTGAACATCTTGGCATGGTTCTGTTATAATCTCCACCCGGCACAGCCAGAAGAGGACTGGCCACCCCTCATAGCCTGGTTCCTCTCTAGGTTTCTTCCTAGGTTTTGCCTTTCTAGGGAGTTTTTCCTAGCCACCGTGCTTCTACACCTGCATTACTAGCTGTTTGGGGTTTTAGGCTGGGTTTCTGTACAGCACTTCGAGATATTAGCTGATGTAAGAAGGGCTATATAAAATAAAATTGATTGATTGAATATGAGGAGGATATTATAGTCCTGAAAATGCTTTCCATGCTCACCAAATGTTGTGCAGCTCACTCGCCGGTGATGGCTGACGTGTTCGTGCCAAAAGCCTATCTCTCTTATATTATTTTTGTAAAACAATATTTGGAAGTTGATCAAATATTTTGGTAGCCTACAGCAGACAGATTAGTCTTCTCTGTTCAGCAGGAGCCATTTGCTTTCCAACCTGTGTTTTCCCACGATTGTATTTGAAATATTTTGGGAAAGGCCTGTTTTGTCTGCATGCAGTTCACTGACAGATTTGCCGTTTGTTCCCGACTGTAGGCTATGCCTTGTGATTGGGCTACACACAATCGACAGCTAGGCAATTTTTAAAAAGAAGCTATTGGTCCTATGTGGCAAAATTATAGGCCTTCTCATGGTGTAGTAGGCTATTCTGAATTATTTCATTTCTTTCTGAACAGACAGCAGTAATTCTTTGATCGTTTTTATTAGACATTTTACATAGCAATAAGTGAGAATTATTTTTCATTCCACGAGAGGTACCGGATCTGACCAAATAGGTTCCGGAAAGAAACAGTCTAAAACGGAAAGGTGCCGGATCCTGATCCGGCTCAAATTAAGCACTGGAGTGGGGACTGTGCTTTATCCGTGATTGTGTCGGTGTGTTGTAAAGAGAAGACCTCTCCTGCTGCTGTTGTGCTGCTTCACTCTGTATGCCTCACTCTGCCAGGTTGTGCCACTGTTTTGAATGCTTATTTTTGGTACAGGCTGTGGTTTGCCTGGTGTGGTGGTGGTGGTTGGGCGGGGGAATCCAGCGCCCGTTCTCCTGCCATAGTGAACGGCGCCAGGACCACACTATTGGTCACATTGATCAAGGTTTCACTGTAACTATTGATCTAAACTTAATCCATCATTATTTTCCTACTCCTGTGTCTCACCTACTTCCACTGTAGATTTGCTTTGCTTACCGGTGACTTATAGTGATAATAGTTTGTCTTAACCCCAACTGTCATAATCACTAATAAATAAATCAAGGTCCCCATTCCATTTCAAACCTTGTGCTGTAAGAGGGGCAGGGTGCAATCTCACTGCCCCAATACAGTAGTGTTAAAATATTACAGTAGTAGTAGTAGTAGTAGTAGTAGTAGTAGTAGTAGTAGTAATGTTTTGAAATGGTGACAAATCCAAATTGCAGAGGGATCTAAACTCGGCAAGAAAAAGAAACGTCCCTTTTTCAGGACCCTGTCTTTCAAATATAATTTCTAAAAATCAAAATAACTTCACAGATCTTCATTGTAAAGGCTTTAAACACTCTTTCCCATGCTTGTTCAATGAACCATAAACAATTAATGAACATGCACCTGTGGAACGGTCGATAAGACACTAACAGCTTACAGACGGTAGGCAATTAAGGAGGCATGAGGACTGCAGATGTGGCCAGGGCAATAAATTGCAATGTCTGTACTGTGAGACGCCTAAGACAGCGCTACAGGGAGACAGGATGGACAGCTGATCGTCCTCGCAGTGGCAGACCACGAGTAACAACACCTGCACAGGATCGGTACATCCGAACATCACACCTGCGGGACAGGTACAGGATGGCAACAACAACTGCCCGAGTTACACCAGGGAAGCACAATCCCTCCATCAGTGCTCAGACTGTCCGCAATAGGCTGAGAGAGGCTGGACTGAGGGCTTGTAGGCCTGTTGTAAGGCAGGTCCTCCCCAGACATCACCGGCAACAACGTCGCCTATGGGCACAAACCCACCGTCGCTGGACCAGACAGGACTGGCAAAAAGTGCTCTTCACTGACGAGTCGTGGTTTTGTCTCACCAGGGGTGATGGTCGGATTCGTGTTTATCGTCGAAGGAATGAGCGTTACACCGAGGCCTGTACTCTGGAGCGGGATCGATTTGGAGGTGGAAGGTCCGTCACGGTCTGGGGCGGTGTGTCACAGCATCATCGGACTGAGCTTGTTGTCATTGCAAGCAATCTCAACGCTGTGTGTTACAGGGAAGACATCCTCCTCCCTCATGTGGTACCCTTCCTGCAGGCTCATCCTGACATGACCCTCCAGCATGACAATGCCACCAGCCATACTGCTTGTTCTGTGCGTGATTTCCTGCAAGACAGGAATGTCTGTGTTCTGCCATGGCCAGTGAAGTGCCCGGATCTCAATCCCATTGAGCACGTCTGGGACCTGTTGGATCAGAGGGTGAGGGCTAGGGCCATTCCCCCCAGAAATGTCTGGGATCTTGCAGGTGCCTTGGTGGAAGAGTGGGGTAACATCTCACAGCAATAACAGGCAAATCTGGTGCAGTCCATGAGGAGGAGATGCACTGCAGTACTTAATGAGGCTGGTGGCCACACCAGATACTGACTGTTACTTTTGAGTTTGACCCCCCCCCCCCTTTGTTCAGGACACATTATTCCATTTCTGTTAGTCACATGTCTGTGGAACTTCTTCAGTTTATGTCTCAGTTGTTGAATCTTGTTATGTTCATACAAATATTTACACATGTTAAGTTTGCTGAAAATAAATGCAGTTGACAGTGAGAGGATGTTTCTTTTTTTGCTGACTTTAGTTAGTCATTATTTGATGCGGTAATGTATAAGTTAATGGCTCTCTCTACATGTAGGCTTTATAATTCTCATGATTTTCTGTCTGGAGTTTGATTACTGCATGTTTGTGTCGATCTTTTAGATTTTATGTTCACCTCTAAATGATCGATCATTCGAAAGTCTTCTTGTTCAGAATTATAGCCACTTGTGTTACGTTGCACCTACCTCTGTCTTTCTAGCATTTGTCTCTGTCTCTGTGTGTTTGATGTGGAGCAGTAACCGGCTGTCCGGTCTTTTCTCTGACAGATGAGACTATGGTGATCAATGTGTTCTGTGGAGTGGTGTCTGGAGTCCTGTCCTCCTCTCTGGCCAACCCCACTGACGTTGTCAAGGTGAAAAACGTCTAGATACCTGAAAGATCTAGATACCGGACATTGCAGATAGAAATGTCATGAATATAACTGATGTGACTCCTTTTTGTGTCAGAGGCATGTTTATGAGGCATCTCATAATCTGAATGTCTCAACGTTTTGCCTTGCTGAACACAGGCCCTGATGTTCTGTGTTGTGTGTTCAGATCCGCATGCAGGCCCAGGGCAGTCTGTTACAAGGCAGCATGATGTCCAACTTCATAAACATCTACCAGACAGAGGGAACCCGCGGCCTGTGGAGGGTGAGTGGTCCCCTCTCTGTCACAAACTATTAAACAGTGGCTCTGATCTGTCCTCAACTACCCCCATGTACTGTATGGTTGGGACAGCTGTAGTAGGTGAATTATATAGGCCTATTGTTAAGATTTTGTTTAGTTTTTTTGTTGTTTTTATGGAAGAGCTTTGTTGTTATTTAAGATTGTGACCAGTTGAGTGACTGGTACTCTTGGGTTGTTGTATTTATACTGTTGTCATCCTCAGGGCGTCATCCCTACAGCTCAGCGGGCAGCCATCGTAGTGGGAGTGGAGCTTCCTGTCTATGACATCACTAAGAAGCATCTCATCAAGTCTGGCACCATGGGAGACACCATACTCACACACTTTATGTGAGTTTAAACCTCAATATTGTTTAATGCATATAAATATATACTTTTTGTTATTCTGTATGTACTGGCATACTCTCTGAGAAAGATCATAGAAAACCTAACAGTGAGTGTGCATATTACACCTGAACCTCTGGCTTCTCCCACATCTGTCTCTCTGCTTGCAGTTCCAGTTTTACGTGTGGCCTGGCGGGGGCGCTAGCCTCCAACCCAGTGGACGTGGTGCGGACGCGTATGATGAACCAACGAGTGCTATCTGGGAACCCCATGTATAAAGGCACGCTGGACGGATTGATGCAGACCTGGAAGAACGAGGGATTCTTTGCCCTCTACAAGGGCTTCTGGCCCAACTGGCTGCGTCTGGGGCCATGGAACATCATTGTATCCTTTCCATCAGTGGAATCAAAGTTCAAATCCACTGTGTTGCCAGCACTATTATCCAAATAACTGAGCCATCTGAACCTCCCTCTCTCTCTCCCTGCATTTACACATTGATTTATATTATGTCAGTTCAGTTTTGCATCAAGTCATATTGAGTATTTTAGACATCATAGAGAACCATTCCTTGTAAAAGTAGGTCAACTTCAGCATTGCAGGACAAGTTGTCAGTTTGTGTTGTTGTGAGGTAATCTCCCTTTGGGAACTGGATCAGGTTCTAATTGTATTACCCTATTGTCCCTCAAAGGTATAGAGAGAACAGCAGAGTGGAACGGAGTGTACAGGTTGTGTAATGGCGCTCTTCTCCCCTTTCTCCTTGGCTACCAGTAGAGGATGCCAAATACTTACACTGAAGCAAAATATGCAAGGATGAACCTTGTTTTATTCAATATCACTGTAAAATATTACCAAACAAAACGTACATTTTATTTAGTTAAATCTTAAAAGTGTTATGATTTATTTTTGATGGGCACAGTCAATGTCAAGATTATACTTCAGGGCTGACGCCATGTGTTGTCCTTTACTAAAGCTCTTTTAGTTCTTCATCACGTTCGAGCAGCTGAAAAAACTCCCCTTATAGTTGGAACAGGGAGTGGACACTCCGTCGGACCAGAGTGTATCGGAGTGCGGGAAACACCCCAGCCCTTTGTCTGCGTTACATTCACGATCCCTCCCTCGTCACACAATCTATGTCTGCATGCTCATCTTAGTTTTATTTTAACTTTTAATAATATTTATTATTTTAACTTTATTATTTGTGTTGTGTTTTAAACATTTCCTCATACTCATACCCCTCAACCACCCTTGATGCCACTCCTGGCAGCTAAAGCTTAGGTTGTAGCTGAGGACGGATGCCCGTTTGGGCCATAAGGTATTAGCTAGGTACGCTGACTGCCAGCTTGCTACCGTTTTAAAGTGAACTTGTGGGAAAAGGAGGAGGACTATCCTGTGTGCAACGGTAACTGGAGATCTACTTGAGCTTTTTTAGGGATGTGGAATAGGCCTCTGATTGTGTCTGGCTAGTTTTTAACCGCATCTCTCCACTGCATGGGATGTGCAAGAAAAAGATAGTGGCTGTTAAATGTATAGGATTGGGTTTTTGCCTGTCTGATCTGACTTTTAAATAATGTCTTCACTGTTTTGGGCAGAGCTAGCTAGAAGAGAATGCAAAGCATGGTAGGTTAACCAGGTTGTTATTGTCAAAGATAATTTATTCTCAATTACTTTCCTGGTTAAGTAAAGGTTACAATAGGTGCTGTTTAGTCTGTTAGAGGAACTCAGGACAACGGTGACCTACATGAAAAAATACTATACTATGGCTAAATACTATAGTGTTCACTGTAGTGTTTTTTTCTGCCTTTACTGTAGTTTTGCGGACCTGACTGTAGTATTTACAGTTTACTATTGTATAAATACTGTAGTAAGGAAAAAAAACTAGTACTCAAAGAGCACATTTTCCATAACCTTTAGGTAGGTAGGACTGAGGTCTGAATGGACAGTTCAGCGCCTCTGTTCTCTTTTTAATAACCTGTAGGGAACACAATATATGGCATATACTTGGCATGTAGGTTTCTCACTTATGGGTGGCACATATTGGGATATGGGGAGGGGAATGGGCAGGGTACATGCAAATTAAATACTGTAGTATATATTATAGTAATTACTGTAGTGTTTTTGTGGTCTAGTATTTACTATAGTATTCTACAGTATACTACAATATTCTATAGTAAGTATTACAAATGATCAAGGTATACTACAGTGTAGTATAGTATAGTTTACTACAGAATTCTGTAGTAAGTACTGTAGTATTCTATAGTAAAATAGTACTTTTTTTATGTGGGGAGACTATGTATGATGAGATGGGGGACTCTGTTGTCATTACTTGAATTTAGTCCGATGTTGAACCAAAGCCACTATTGGGTACCCGGAGAGTGACTTTGCTTTCTGTACATTTCACCACAACCCTTTGTGTGAAACAGAGGTGTCTGCTGTTGTCTGAAACATGCACAGCAATGGAAGCACTTTTCTGGGACCTGCCTGGTTTTCACGGCGATTCCCATGAAAGTATACTGAACTAAAATATAAACGCAAATTCATTAGGCCCTAATCTATGGATTTCACATGGCTGGGAGGGCATAGGCCCACCCACTTGGGAGCCAGGCCCAGCCAATCCGAATGAGTTTTTTCCCACAATGGCTTTATTACAGAGAAATACTCCTCCGCACACCCCCTCCCCCCTCTGACGATCCCGCAGGTGATGAAGCCGGATGTGGAGGTCCTGGGCAGGCGTGGTTACATGTGGTCTGCGGCTGTGAGGCTGGTTGGACATACTGCCAAATTCTCTAAAACAACGTATTATGGTAGAGAAATTAATATTAACTTATCTGGCAACAGCTCTGGTGGATATTCCTTCAGTCAGCATGCCACTTGCACGCTCCCTCAAATTGAGATGTCTGTGGCATTGTGTTGTGTGACAAAACTGCATATTTTAGTGGCCTTTTATTGTCCCCAGCACAAGGTGCACCTGTGTAATGGTCATGCTGTTTAATCAGCTTCTTGATATGCCACACCTGTCAGGTGGTTGGATTATCTTGACAAAGGATAAAATACTCACTAACAGGGATGTAAACAAATTTGTGTACAATTTGAGATTAAGGTTTTTGTGCGAATGGAACATTTCTGGGATCTTTTATTTCAGTTAATGAAACATGGGACCAACACTTTACATGTTGCATTTTTATATTTTTGTTCAGTGTACATTATGTAAATGTATGCACAGAGAGACGCGCACATGTAAAGACCGTATTGTGACAGGCATGTCTAAGTTGTACATAGTTACTTTAGAGTAACTGCTTTGAGTTTCTATTTTGAGCTTTGAGTAAAGCCCTGAATGGACTAGGATATGGGGGCAGAAGTGCCAAAGTGTGCATGTACTGTATCTACTGTATTGCACCACTGTTGCAAAGCTCCGTCTGTGAATGGGTCAGTTGCCAAGGTACCAGGAGAACTGCACTGTTGCATTCTTACTCAAGCCTTACACTTTACTTTCATGATCATGTTTGTAATCTATATGATGCCTGATTCTGTTCCTCTGCCTCATGTCCCATGGCCATTTTGAGTTTTATTAGAATTACTAGTTTTGTTGCTTTAATGTGTTGTTTCAGCAGTCATGCATTACTGAGCCGTCCTTTAGCTTTTATCTGTGTGTCTTTACAATGATGTAATACACTTTTTTCCCCACAGGATCCCAAAGTACTTTACGAATAACTTTTCTTGAATTTCTTTCCAAATCTGTATTGTTTTTTATTTTTTATTACATGATCATGTTTTCCCATATTAACTTAACAAAGAACACATTCTTGAAGTCTTGAACCTGTTGCCCCTTCACTCAGCAATGCAGAGTATGTTCTGTACTTTTTCTCTCATTCCTGTTTAAACACTTGGCAGGGCTTACTGCATGCTTTTATTTACAGTATGTGGGCATGTCCAGTTTAGGAACAACATTGCAGTCGTTTTTAAATGATTATTGGACAATTATTGCTTTCATTGGCTCCAGCTGCATTTTGCTGTCTGTTAACCACAAATGGATTATTACTTTGGTATACACTACTGTTCAAAAGTTTGGGGTCACTTTGAAATTTCCTTGTTTTTGTCCATTAAAATAACATTAATCAGAAATACAGCGTAGACATTGTTAATGTTGTAAATGGCTATTGTAGCTGGAAATGGCTGATTTTTAATGGAATATCTACATAGGCGTACAGAGGCCCATTATCAGCAACCATCAGTCCTGTGTTCCAATGGCACGTTGTGTTTGCTAATCCAAGTTCATCATTTTAAAAGGCTAATTGATCATTAGAAACCCTTTTGCAATTATGTTAGTATAGCGGAAAACTGTTGTGCTGATTTAAAGAAGCAAAAAAACTGGCCTTCTTGAGACTAGTTGAGTATCTGGAGCATCAGCAATTGTGGGTTCGATTACAGGCTCAAAATGCCCAGAAACAAATAACTTTCTTCTGAAACTCGTTAGTCTATTCTTGTTCTGAGAAATGATAGCTATTCCATGTGAGAAATTGCCAAGAAACTGAAGATCTCGTACAATGCTGTGTACTACTCCCTTCACAGAACAGCTCAAACTGGCTCTGACCTTCTAGGGATGCTGACCTTCTAGGCAGAGTTGCAAAGAAAAAGTCCAGTGTCTGTGTTCTTTTGCCCATCTTAATCTTTTATTTTTATTGGCCAGTCTGAGATATGGCTTTTTCTTCGCAACTCTGCCTAGAAGGTCAGCATCCTGGAGTCGCATCTTCACTGTTGACGTTGAGACTGATGTTTTGCAGGTACAATTTAATGAAGCTGCCAGTTGAGGACCTGTGAGGCGTCTGTTTCTCAAACTAGACACTAATGTATTTGTCCTCTTGCTCAGTTGTGCACCTGGGCCTCCCACTCCTCTTTCTATTCTGGTTAGAGCCAGTTTGCGCTGTTCTGTGAAGGGAGTAGTACACAGCGTTGTACGAGATCTTCAGTTTCTTGGCAATTTTCTCGCATGGAATAGCCTTCATTTATCAGAACAAGAATAGACTGACGAGTTTCAGAAGAAAGTTATTTGTTTCTGGCCATTTTGAGCCTGTAATCGAACTCACAATTGCTGATGCTCCAGATACTCAACTAGTCTCAAGAAGGCCCGTTTTATTGCTTCTTTAATCAGCACAACAGTTTTCAGCTGTGCTAACATAATTGCAAAAGGGTTTCTAATGATCAATTAGCCTTTTTTAAATGATAAACTTGGATTAACAAACACAACGTGCCATTGGAACACAGGACTGATGGTAGTGTATATTAATACATGCTTTGGTGATCAGTTCATTTTCAGTTGAGACAATTCAGGGAGTGATTTGAACTTCTAATTCAAGAATGGAACAAATTTGAAAATGGATTCAATCAATGTATTGGAATTTCAGAATTGACCCCAACCCTGAATCCATTATAGGCTTTATCTTCAGCATCCTGTCTTTCTATTATGAAAATAGAAAATGACAGTACAATGTTGTCAATCAGCTGTTACCATTTGACTCCTTAGACTTGCCTTGCTGTATTGTTATATATTGACGACTGAAAATCTATTTATTTCTGTTTTCATGATTGTATTCTCTACTGCTGTGTGACTCAGCTGGCTGAAACACTGTTTGGTCTCTGTCAAATATTTCAGCCTGTCATTACCTGGTAATTTGCACTTTGGTCAAATGTCTGTCGATAAAAACTGTATTTGCAATCGTATTTATAATCATTTTACTTGTTTAGTCAATTGATTGTGTAGTTGGTTAATTATGTGTAAACTATTTTCAGTGACATATTGGATTTGGCTTTGTATAAATAACTTGATTAAATGTACACACCTAAATAAAATCAGTAATTTATTTATCTTTAAGCACCCAACACAAGGGTGGACAGGTGAGTAACCAAGTGAGAAGGAAATTACATCTTTATTAGAATGTGCACACAATTATTGTCTCACCCTACCACAGGTCAAAGTATTAACATGAGCATTATTTTCTATAAATAGAGGGCCAGATTTCCAAAAATAGGCTGTAGTGGCATATGGTGTGCAACGTTAATTCAATGAAACTACTGAACTACCAGTTGAAAAACGTGTTTATGGTGGCCCAGAAGGCAGTTAAGTTAGCCTACCATATGGTGTGCTGCACGAGTTTGCGATTTCAGATGGTGACCCTCAGCACACCCACCAAACGGGAGCAAACATACTTCAAGGCTGTTGAAGGACGGTGCGCACCGTTTTGGGAAAACGTGTCATTTAGTAGGCCTACAAACCGTCACGCATTGTAGCAAACGTTGAAGCGAACTGAACGCAACCCCTGTACTGTAGAGATGTTGATTGCCTCCCACCTTACATTTGCCAGTCTTCAGGTAGGCTACATTCCCTGTGATTTGAGAACAAGAAGGTATGTCAGCAGGTAATTTGCATAGATCGCTGCCCCCAATGCTTTCGTTGCGTAGTAATACGACACAAAGCACATTCTCAGTTCTCACTCAAGGAAGTTCAGCATTTCAGAGACTGGACCTAGGTAAATTACTCTGCTACAATATTTTATGAAGTAAGCTATTCGATTATCTTCGATAATAAAAGTTCGCACGCACTCATTATCTATCCAACGTTTCTGCCTGGGTGGAAGTTATTCTTCGCACTCGCAGCAAGATGTCTATTCACAATACCTCCACATTATACAGGACCGTCAGCGTCTCGACGGACCCAGCCACCACAGTTTTATCGCAGGGCCAATACATCGATGGTTACAGAACTATGAGTGTTTCATCTGCTCCGGTACAGTATGGAATCGGTAATGGATACGAGACCGTGCGCTACCTGATGCCCGTTCAGCAGGCGATTCAGCAGCAGCAGATGCAGTATGTGCTGGTCAACCAACCCTCCCAGGTTATGCAGCAGATGGTGTCACCTGTATGTTTGCAGAATATCCAGAGGGTCAGTGTAAATAGTTCAGAACAATCGGACATCTACCGACAACAAATTGTAGAGGTGAGTTTTACAATACACTGTATGATGAATATTGATTTTGTAAAGAAATAGGCATAGTGCCTATAAGAGTATAACAGTTTAACATTCAATAATATTATAAAATGTATCTTAAGGACGTAGAGAACTGTTTACAATTCGGCATCATCTCTTAGGCTACTTATGATCACTTGGGGACCTTAAGAGAATCCACCATCTATGGGCAAATAAAGAGAACAGCATGTCAGTGCAGGTCCACATGACAGGTCTATCATAATCCGCCCATTGTGTATTGTCCCAACCATTCGTTCTTTCTTTGATGATCCTGTACAGGAAAAGCCACATGCTTGTTTGTGATAGTGATTTGGCAATAAGGGAGCAACCATTTGCTCCAGTATAACCCTGCACCTGAGAAAAGCAAACAGATGAATGAAGCATCATTTCCTGAATGCTTGTCCACAGGGTACTTATGTTATGGAGCGAGCCTCTCCTAGTCAAGTTCAAACCAGCTGCCACACCTTATAATAAAGCGACTTCTTATGCCCCTCTGATTCAACAGTCCCTGTCATCACTCTATCTGCAGCTGTGTTTCTCTTTGAACTTCTTCTGAAGTTCATCTTCTGAAGTGCTACGTAAATTGAAGTGTTTTTTCTTTAAGATTGAATGTGTAACGTAACTAATTACAGTGGCATGTCCAGAACATTTTGAATGGTGTTGCCAAGGTTGGGCACAGACCCAGTTTAGGGGGGCCATATCATTTTGAACCTTAATCGATGCAAGGTGGATTTTTTTCAATATAATTATGATGGTTCAACGAATTAAAAGATTTGGTACAGTTCCCTGTTCAAATACATCAATTTAATTCCAAAAGTATTGTTACAGTGTTTGCATTCAAGGTCAGGAATTGATATAAGGGTATTAGCATAATGCGAATCATACCGTGACATTCGGGGAGTCTCTATTTTTTTTAAACGGGACCTCCTACGTAGTTGGTTCGTGCACACAAGCATAAGGAGAGGGATGAGGGCGTCGAGTTGCAGAAAAAGGTCTGTCATCATTGTCAAAAGCACAAGAGATACAGGTGCTGTTAGATTGCAATATAATATTTCTGCCCGTTTGGAACAGTGTAACAACACTAAATAAATTATAAGTAATACCAGAGAGTCTGTCATGTAAAGCCTTTTATTACAGCATAGCAAAGTTGAAAAACAGCCGGATTTTTGAAATTGTTTTATCCGACATTTTGCGGTTGTAGTAGGATATTAAACAAACACACAAAAATAGGCAACAGAAGCAGGAACAGAAGCATAGTGCTGATAGGACTCAACTCTGACTGAGGGCAGCATCTATCTGTAGTCTAAACTGGCACACATTTTGGGATTTTTCACACCCAGCTATTAAACTATCCTTTTGTAAATTAATGGAGGTGTGAATGTTTCTGTCCAAGGCTCTCTTCTCTTGCACTAGAGTCCTGCATCGGGCAAAAAAATCAGCAGGTGGGTGGTTCCGGAGTTGATAGAGAACTTGGGAAAATACAATGGCGCAATTACACTTGACAGGATACTTGTGCCTTACAGCCATTACATAAACGAAGAGTGGGTGTTATCCACCACAGAGTGGGACAGTGCAGCTCAAAACTGCAGATAACATAAGGCCAGCTATTGAGAAAATAATAGGATACTAGGCGGTAACCCGCAAGAACAATGTCTAATTGCTGACACAAAAAAGCAATGTTTGGGGGCGAGTGGATGAGTGTTCCACCAACACACTCATCCAACATATTACTACTTTAGTCAAAAATTATCTACAAATGTTTCGCTAAACAAGTGGATTATTTATCTTAAGGCTTTCCTATTCTGAATGAATGATTATATTGAAGATAGAAGCTGCCTCTTAATGAGTTCTGAGAGCTGATCCATTACCCAACAAAATAACATCAATTTATTTAACCTAATTGTTTTAATGACTACAGACAGTAGGTTATTATTCCTCTTTTCAGCATTTGGCTAAAAAGAAACCATGCCATGAATTAAAAACAATATATTTTTATTTTCACAATGCAATGCGACAAATTGACAACTCAAATCGCTTTAAAGAGCCTTCTAATATTAGACAACAAATAAATATACTAAAACAATAACTTCAAAAACAGTCCATTCATCACTGGATTTCTTTAAATTGCTGTGCAGGAAAAGGATATCATCCACCGTGCCTGGTCGCAGGCTCGCAGCTGGCTTCTCTCTGAAACCTCAAATCTATCTGTAGGTGAACCATACAATTACCAAGTGGACAGTAGGCCTCTTGAAGCATAGAGAGAATCAACAAGATCCACAAGTAGGGTGCTAAGGGGTAACTAGCCCCCTGGGGTAACTGCCCCCAGGGTATCCTTTTCCTGCACAGCAATTTAAAGAAATCCAGTGATGAATGGACTGTTTTTGAAGTTATTGTTTTAGTATATTTATTTGTTGTCTAATATTAGAAGGCTCTTTAAAGCGATTTGAGTTGTCAATTTGTCGCATTGCATTGTGAAAATAAAAATATATTGTTTTTAATTCATGGCATGGTTTCTTTTTAGCCAAATGCTGAAAAGAGGAATAATAACCTACTGTCTGTAGTCATTAAAACAATTAGGTTAAATAAATTGATGTTATTTTGTTGGGTAATGGATCAGCTCTCAGAACTCATTAAGAGGCAGCTTCTATCTTCAATATAATTATTCATTCAGAAGGTTAAACCCATAGGTCTTAGGCCTGCAGTAAATTACATTTATTTTTTAGGTTATAATAATCCATGCCTTCTGGGAATGTTATAAAGTCCAAAAGTTATGGGTGGAGTTAGAAGTTGGCTGTCAGAAGTATTACAATGTAAATTAACATTTAATCCGTCTGTCTGCATATTTCAAGACATGGCATATAAGGGTGCAGTGAGATACCGCATTGGTTGGATGATACTTTTCTCATCAATCATCTTGAAAAAACGTATACTCAATGCTTTATTATCCAAATGTTGAAAGTGCATGTGCGACAGAGAGAAACAAAATGGTGCAGCTTGAGGCCATGTGGCAGAGAGTGATGCGGGCGCTGGAGATGGGGGGGTGTGAGCAGGTGGGTCTTGGCAGGTGTGATGTAGTTGTCGTTTGTATGTGTATGTTTTGTATTGTCAAAATAATAATAATACAATACAAAACAAAGGAAAAATGACAAGCTTGCAACATGCATCTGATTATTCATTATGAATAGGATTTATTTGATTTATTTCGTTTACATTCTTCATTGTAACCACAATGTCACAAATAATTGAACACATACACACACAACATGAGCAGATTAACTTGGTCAAAACATTTCTTTATTAAAGACGATCAGAAAGAATGTTGGTACTTATTTATTTTTATCCAAAGCCACTAATGATTGAGTCACTCAGCTTTATGCTGACAAATATAGCTTTATGCTGAAAAATAGCCTACTAAATAGCCACGCCTAAACAAATATATTAAATTACCTAAATAAAGTAGGCCGCGCGTAGCCGGCCGCGACCGGGAGACCCATGGGGCGGCGCACAATTGGCCAAGCGTTGTCCAGGGTAGGGGAGGGAATGGCCGGCAGGGATGTAGCTCAGTTGGTAGAGCATGGCGTTTGCAACGCCAGGGTTGTGGGTTCGATTCCCACGGGGGGCCAGTATGAAAAAATAAATAAATAATGTATGCACTAACTGTAAGTCGCTCTGGATAAGAGCGTCTGCTAAATGACTAAAATGTAAATGTAAAATGTAATAAATAAAATAAATTAAGTAGCTCATGTCTTGAAAATATGGGCAACCTTTTTCCTCTCCAGAATGACGCAATTTACCACAATCTGCCACCATCTACCATAAACTGTCGCGACATAAGCTCGAAACCTTTAATTGAGGAACCACTGTGTGCATGGGCATTTTTTATGGGCTTTATAGTAAAGCCATGTAATTGAACTGTTTTAGCTTTTAATGTGTCATGAACACAACCAGTCATGATGTTTTCATCTGATTTGTCAAACAAATCACTTCAAAAAGTAGGTTAAGTAGGTTACTTGCGCACATTTGTCTACTCCAAAATAAATCCAGCATCTGTACAGTGGGCTGTGCACCCGCCATTTGAATGGAAAGGGACATCTATTACAAACACCATACGTGTAATGACATTCAGCCTACAAAGTGGCATGTATTCATGGATGCCAAGGGAAGCCAGTCTTTCCCCCCCAAAAAATTACAATAAAAAATAAACAAACCTATAAAATGATTTCTCATTCTTGTCTATCCGCGTTTCATAATTTTCCTTCAATTGGCAAGAGGCAGCAACTACAGTGGAGAGAACAAGTATTTGATACACTGCTGATTTTGCAGGTTTTCTTACTTACAAAGCATGTAGAGGTCTGTAATTTTTATCATAGGTACACTTCAACTGTGAGAGATGGAATCTAAAACAAAAATCCAGAAAATCACATTGTATGATATTTAAGTAATTAATTTGCATTTTATTGCATGACAGAAATATTTGATACATCAGAAAAGCAGAACTTAATATTTGGTACAGAAACCTTTGTTTGCAATTACAGAGATCATACGTTTCCTGTAGGTCTTGACCAGGTTTGCACACACTGCAGCAGGGATTTTGGCCCACTCCTCCATACAAACCTTCTCCAGATCCTTCAGGTTTCGGGGCTGTCGCTGGGCAATACAGACTTTCAGCTCCCTCCAAAGATTTTCAATTGGGTTCAGGTCTGGAGACTGGCTAGGCCACTCCAGGACCTTGAGATGCTTCTTACGGAGCCACTCCTTAGTTGCCCTGGCTGTGTGTTTCGGGTCGTTGTCATGCTGGAAGACCCAGCCATGACCCATCTTCAATGCTCTTACTGAGGGAAGGAGGTTGTTGGCCAAGATCTCGCAATAAATGGCCCCATCCATCCTCCCCTCAATACGGTGCAGTCGTCCTGTCCCCTTTGCAGAAAAGCATCCCCAAAGAATGATGTTCCCACCTCCATGCTTCACGGTTCGGATGGTGTTCTTGGGGTTGTACTCATCCTTCTTCTTCCTCCAAACACGGCGAGTGGAGTTTAGACCAAAAAGCTATATTTTTGTCTCGTCAGACCACATGACCTTCTCCCATTCCTCCTCTGGATCATCCAGATGGTCATTGGCAAACTTCAGACGGGCCTGGACATGCGCTGGCTTGAGCAGGGGGACCTTGCGTGCACTGCAGGATGTTAATCCATGACGGCGTAGTGTGTTACTAATGGTTTTCTTTGAGACTGTGGTCCCAGCTCTCTTCAGGTCATTGACCAGGTCCTGCCGTGTAGTTCTGGGCTGATCCCTCACCTTCCTCATGATCATTGATGCCCCACGAGGTGAGATCTTGCATGGAGCCCCAGACCGAGGGTGATTGACCGTCATCTTGAACTTCTTCCATTTTGTAATAATTGCGCCAACAGTTGTTGCCTTCTCACCAAGCTGCTTGCCTATTGTCCTGTAGCCCATCCCAGCCTTGTGCAGGTCTACAATTTTATCCCTGATGTCCTTACACAGCTCTCTTGTGGAGAGGTTGGAGTCTGTTTGATTGAGTGTGAGAACAGGTGTCTTTTATACAGGTAACGAGTTCAAACAGGTGCAGTTAATACAGGTAATGAGTGGAGAACAGGAGGGCTTCTTAAAGAAAAACTAACAGGTCTGTGAGAGCCAGAATTCTTACTGGTTGGTAGGTGATCAAATACTTATGTCATGCAATAAAATGCAAATTAATTACTTAAAAATCATACAATGTGATTTTCTGGATTTTTGTTTTAGATTCCGTCTCTCACAGTTGAAGTGTACCTATGATAAAAATTACAGACCTCTACATGCTTTGTAAGTAAGAAAACCTGCAAAATCAGCAGTGTATCAAATACTTGTTCTCTCCACTGTAGTTGCTGCCTCTTGCCAATTTATTTAACCAGAGAAAGCATCCGAGCAAGGGAAACAGCGGCATACTGAGAGACTGAGGAGTTATTTGCAAATTATCTTTGTTTAGGTTATTCTATAGGTTATAACATTTAAATGTTTTACATTTAAGTCATTTAGTAGACGCTCTTATCCAGAGCGATTTACAGTTAGTGCATTCATTTTAAGATAGCTAGGTGGGACAACCACATATCACAGGCATAGTAAGTACACTTTCCTTCAATAAAGTAGCTATCAGCAAAGTCAGAGCTAGAAAAGGGAGGGGGGTGGGGGTCAAGTGCAATTGTGTTGGTTCAGGATTATGAGGAGGGTTATTATTTAAGATAATCTTTGAAGAGGTAGGGTTTCAGGTGCTTTCGGAAGATGGGCAGGGACTCTGCTGTCCTAGCTTCAGGGGGAAGCTGGTTCTACCATTGGGGTGCCAGGACAGAGAAGAGCATGGACTGGGCTGAGAGGGAGGGCCAAGAGACCAGAGGTGGCAGAACGGAGTGCTCGGTTTGGGGTGTAGGGTTGAGCATAGCCTGAATGTAGGGAGGGGCAGTTCCTCTTGCTGCCTTGTAGGTAAGCACCATGGTCTTGTAGTGGATGCGAGCTTCGACTGGAAGCCAGTGGAGTGTGCGGAGGAGCGGGGTGACATGGGAGAACTTTGGAAGGTCTTGGGAAGGTCACTGTGTGTTGTGACATTGCATTCAACATATTTTAAGAAGGCAATGAAGCATTCATGAAGTCCAAGATCAAAACGCTTCAGGGCGTACTACCATAGACTTACTACAGGGATTCAGTTGATTTCCTTTCTCACTGAATCACATGGAACACATCCATTAATCTCTACTGATTGTCAGGTGCATTATGGGTGGAGGACAGATCCAGGAGTTATGTCTGCCAGCTTGATGTTCATAATCACACCATACCTATGCATTTTATTGTACCTGGAATAGGTGGGGATTGAAAGACAGAATTATAGGTTTCTTACTTTCTTCATACTCTAACTAAAAACCACGGCACTCTTCTGTGAAAGTTTCCTCTTAAAAAGGTATTTGGATTTAAAGTGGTGTGTCAAACCAAATGTCAGTTAGCTTTGTTGCCCTGAGGGACCAAGATAATCACTAACCTTCTAATGTTCTTTTTGCATGAATCTGGAAAATGTAGGCTAGTTAGTAGACAGCTCTGCTTCGCGTGCACACAGGAACTTTCTCTCATCTCCTAAATTAGTTCACTTTGTGTTCTCATGAATGAAATGAAAGGTGATATTGTCATTTATCAGAATAGTGTGGCATGATTACAACCACATCTTTAAATTGGACCCCAATCCAAAATGGTAGGTCAGACAACTGAAGCAAGAGACGTGCCGAAACTTTGGTTAGGTACCCATTAAATTGTTGGGAGCATATTTAGAGTGTGCAAGTTTCTTTCTTTCTATATAGTTTACCCTCCGTCAGTCAGCACCTCTACAAACATAGAAATTAGCAAACAAGACACTAGTTTGAGAGGAAAATAAAGTTTTCTATGAAAATTATCGGATTATTTAGCTATTGGTTTCTAGGAACCAACCGATCAGAGACAGCAGATGTAGGTGGGCGTGGCCACCCCCCCCGGTTTGCACACCTTTGATGTTCAGATGGGAACAGTAATAGTTGGAATAGTAACTGAAGTTTAGACACTGACTGTAGGCCTCACATGTTGCCTATTTTAATATTAACTCCTGCAGAATTAAGTGTTTCTTGCTGTAAAATTATAAACCAAATGTTAATTTTGTCTCAGGAACAGGAGTGGAGAAATATTATTTCTTTCTTTCAGCATCTTGAGAGAATGTGAATGGATGCGCAGTTAGGTACAGTGTTGTGTAGCCTAAGTAGAAGTGAAAATGTTTTCATCTACATAAAAGGTGACAGTATTTCATTTTCAACACATAAAATATACATCCAATGAAGGATCGTTTTCACAGCTTTTAATTTCCTTTAAAACCGGCCAAACTGACATTTGGAAATTCTGCACGGACAACCTCCCCGGTACCTAAAGGTCCTCACTCCGCAAGAGAAGCAGAAATTAAAGAAAAAACTTTACCAATGTCAACTAGATTATTGATGATGCATTCATTCTATCGATGTATGCAATTTTTCTGGCAAGGCTTTATGTAGTATTCTAGAGAAGGGGTTTTCAAACTTTTCTTTGCCTGGGCGGGTGACCCCCTTTCCCCAAAAAATTCTGCCGCCCCTGCAACCTATGAGTGCTTCCTGAATGTTTGACAGCAGTTGTGTGGCCCTGGAGGCCGGGGTTTAATTAGCCCTGTCTTAGAGTATCCACGGTTGGACTGTTTAGACCCCCCCCCCCCCCCCCCCCCCCCCCCCCCCCCTTTGTGGAACCCTTGCAGTGCCTTTAGGGGTCTGCGAACCCCAGTTTGAAAACCTCTCTTCTAGAGCAACAAGTAGAGCATTTCAGTAGAGTTAGTTATCTGGTTAGATAGATCTGTTTCTGTTTTCGCTAACAGCAGAGTTGGATCTGAATACCAGGCAGAGAGTTACTAAATATGTATTGTCAGGTACAAACATGTAGTCTACTCTTTTATAAAAACACCATCAGGAATGACTTTCATATTTTATCACTGTTTGTCTTTAGGCAACCTGCCTGAGGTAACATCAGGGGTATAACATCAAAACATATGGTGAATGTCTAAGAGATCAGTTAGCTAAGCAGCCTCTGTAGTGGCATGCTGATATAGACTGAAGAATGTTTCTATGTCAAACTTGGGTTTTGCAAATAGGCAGCAGCCAGTGTAATTGCCATTTGGATGTAGACAGCTTCTCTCAGTCTCTGGCGTGTGTTCCCATGCTAGACTAACTGCCATTGGTCTGCAGCCAGCCCAGCGATGAGAATGACTGGGTTTGGCATTTTATTGGCACTCTGCTGCCCTTGATGATGAAGATGGGACTACAACCTAGAGGGGTGCTGTACTCTTACCTCTAATTTCAGTTGATCGCTCGAGAACTGTTTAAAGGTGTGTGTGTGTGTGTGTGTGTGTGTGTGTGTGCAGGACAACTGGCCTCATAATGATTATTTTTTATATAGATCCCTTTTATTTGCATATATCTGTGTCCTGTTTACCTTGTCCCTTCACATTCCTCATTCCTGTGAGGTCCCTCCAGTGTCACATGGGCAGACTATTAGAAAGTTCTACACAGGCAGGGTAAAAATACCATGTCTGTACTATTACAGTGTAACACTGATGCCCTGGGCCCTGGTTCACACACAGGGCCTTTATAGATAAGGCAATGAAGTCTAAAATGACCTGACACACTTCCAGGTGTAGCCATGATAATGCATTGCCTTTACGTATTAGATTACAGATGGATTGATGGTTAAACAGGATTCCTGTCTCAGATTCTATAATAAGATAGATTTGTTCGAAGGGTTTTTTATGCGGATCAAATTGTATGTGATACAAAGCAGATACACGTGAGATTTTCACTAGATGTACGGTTGTGTCTGGGTTAGTAAGGGCTTTCTTAAGAACATTTAGGAATTGGAAAGAGAGTGTTGTGTTTTACTTAGGCCTGATCAATGACTATAGGATCAAAGTAGTCTGTGTTTAGTAATTTACCACTACAGTATATAGACTATAGTAAATAATATGTAGTGCACACACAGAGACGGAAAGCTGGTTCAGTTCAGGTGTCATTGATATGGCTGGGTGTGTAGTGGGGTTTAAGATACATTGACTGATTTGGGCAGTCTCCTAACAGCAATCCTATAATAATAATAATATAGCCCATGTGCATGCAATCAAACACAGTAAAATATAAGTTTGTTTCTGCATTCTTCTATAGCACAGCTAACACTCTGCCTTTCTCTTTCTTTTATCTGCTTCTCCCTGCTTTACCACAGTTTCTCCTGCTTTACTATCACTCTCACTCTCCTATAGCATTACCTCATTACATTTACGTCATTTAGCAGACGCTCTTATCCAGAGCGACTTACAGTTAGTGCATACATTATTCATATTTTTTTTTTTCATACCCCATGGGAATCGAACCCACAACCCTGGCGTTGCAAACGCCATGCTCTACCAACTGAGCTACCTCCCTGCCGGCCATTCCCTCCCCTACCCTGGACGACGCTGGGCCAATTGTGCGCCGCCCCATTGGTCTCCCGGTTGCGGCCGGCTACAGCAGAGCCTGGATTCAAACCAGGATCTCTAGTGGCACAGCTAGCACTGCGATGCAGTGCCTTAGACCACTGCAACACTCGGGAGACTAGTTGAACTCTTCTCCCACACACTCTCTGCAGCCTGAGGTCATAACCCTGCACTTGTGCTCTGCTTCACTTGGAGACAGAAACAGGTTGAACTATATGGAGGCAGATACAGGTTGAAATATATGGAGACAGATACAGGTTGAACTATATGGAGACAGATTTAGGTTGAACTATATGGAGACAGATAGGTTTGACTCAAAGGGTATATGCAGTATATTTTATAAGGTTTGACTCAAAGGGTATATGCAGTATATTTTATAACCATGACCTTACGGTGTGGTAACCTATGTGTATTTGTATAGAGACAGAAAGGTTTCACTCAGGATATAAAATGTATGCACTCACTAACTGTAAGTCGCTCTGGATAAGAGTGTCTGCTAAATGACTAAAATGTAAATGTAATAGTCATCCACACCACTGTGCTTGACCTTACTGCCTTTTAACTAGGTGGGGACAGATAGGTTTGACTCAGTGCTATGCCTGGGCAGCAGCAGTAAGTGTTTACAGAGTCTGTTGCGTCCAGCCTCAAGTGTTTCTCTGCTCTCCAAACCGGTTAAGTTGCAGCCAGCGTCAGGGACAGTTAATCCAAGCCTGTCACCACAGCCTCTATCTACCACCTCCCTTTCACTGGAGAAATCACTGGAATGTTTGTATGTCAGACACACCCAGCTTGGACCCAGCCCAACTCAAGGTGTCAAAAAATAAATAAAGCAAACCCCTCCCCTAATGTTACAGGAAGGGGTCGCAGTTCCGGAGCGACCTACTAGGTGTCACTCACAGTCTGGACTAATCATTATCTTATTGGTGTCACCTGTGTCTACCTGTTCACCTGTGTATTTATGCCCTCACTTCCCTGTGTTCCCTTGCTCAGTTTTCTCTGCTAGTTTCTCTATGTCCAGCAGTACTATGCAGTGTCTGATCGGAGACCTATAAACAGGTACTTGAGAAGTGTTCTCCCTGTTTCATTATTTGTCTCAGTCTTAGGTAGTATTTCGTATTTTGGCTGTCAGCCGGTTTTTGGAGACTTATTTGCTCCGCTTTCTTTTATCGTGATAAGTCCGTTATGTTATATTCTGGCTTCGGGACCACCAGTAAAGATCCTTGTTTCACCATCTCTGTCAACTGCCTACTGTATATCCTGCACCGCACCTGGGTCACACCTCACACCAACCCTTACACCCAAAGTAAAAATGTTCACATGACTCTCCCCTTGTACTGTACATTTTTTTGCACACCCTCATAGAATTAACTCAAAATAATGTTAATGACCACAAATAACAACAACTGTCGTGACCTATAAATGTGGATATCGACTTTGCCACTTCAGCATGCTTTTGTGGTACAGTCGATGCCACGCAGATTGAGGGTTCACCGACCACCACGGACGAGCTCACTCTCCCTGCCTGTTACATTAGGCCTACACTACGATCAGAGCCAGTTGCAGACAGTGATCAGCTAGGTGGAAATCAGATTTTCAACATTTTGATGCCATATTTATAATTATATAAAATACACTGAGTATACAAAACATTATATACATGCATTATTTACATGCTATTTTCCAGCAACAGGTTTCTGTGCCAATGCACCACACAACCAATAAACAAAGCATACCGACTTTGGGTGCTTCAATATCATGGTTTGCGTTTTCAGCACCACGATAAATAGATTGTCAATCTCACCAAACAGAAAATACATCCCTTCCTACCTTGTAGAAGGCTTGGCTTGACAATCTCTGAATGTCATTACACTTTTTGGTGTTTGTATCAGATTCTTTCCATTCATCAAATGGCTGCTGCACAGTTTGGATTGATTGATTGATTTTATTTGTCAGTAAAAAAAAAAACATATATATATATATATATATATATATATATATATATATATATATATACACACAGTACAAAGATTTTGAAAAGTGACCGGGATTGCACAATAACGCCGGGGACTTATTTCCATTGTGGTCCCTATTTTCTTAAACATAAATACATATACACTGAGTGTACAAAACAGAAGGAACACCTGCTCTGTGCTCCATGACTTAGACTGACCAAGTGAATCCACAGGAAAGCTATGATCCCTTATTGATGTCACCTGTTAAATCCACTTCAGTCAGTGTAGATGAAGGGGAGGAGACAGGTTAAAGAAGGATTTTTAAGCCTTGACACGATTGAGAAATGGATTGTGTATGTGTGCCGTTCAGAGAGTGAATGGGCAAGACAAAAGATTTAAGTGCCTTTGAACGGGGTATGGTAGTAGGTGCCAGGCACACCGGTTTGAGTGTGTCAAGAACTGCAACGCTGCTGAGTTTTTCACACTCAACAGTTTCCTGTGTGTATCAAGAATGGTCCACCACCCAAAGGACATCCAGCCACCTTAACAGAACTGTGGGAAGCATTGGAGTCAACATGGGTCAGCATCCCTGTGTAACGCTTTTGACACCTTGTAGAGTCTATGCCCCGACGAACTGAGGCTGTTCTGAGGGCAAAAGGGGGTGCAACTCAATATTAGGAGGGTGTTCCTAATGTTTTGTACACTCAGTGTACAATTACATAGATACAGACACATTAAGGCCGCTACACTGTTTACATGCGTAGATCTACGTGCATGTTCTTAGGTGGAGTCGTTTTTTGGGGGCAGTGGACACCTTCCCTTGCGTTCCACCCAGAGTGGAAGTCCACCTTGTGTAGTGTATAACTACTAGGGGACTTGGGGTGCCAGGGTAGCTTACCAAGCAAGAGGGGCCGAGGTACTCTTTTTGACTCTAGCTAGCGACGACATTTGAAATTCCGGATACGGTGTTATATGCCTGTTTACAAATGCTAGCTAGCTAGCTAGCTAGCTACAGTGAGGGAAAAAAGTATTTGATCCCCTGCTGATTTTGTACATTTGCCCACTGACAAAGAAATGATCAGTCTATAATTTTAATGGTAGGTTTATTTGAACAGTGAGGGACAGAATAAAAACAAAAAAATCCTGAAAAACACATGTCAAAAATTTTATAAATTGATTTGCATTTTAATGAGGGAAATAAGTATTTGACCCCTCTGCAAAACATGACTTAGTACTTGGTGGCAAAACCCTTTTTGGCAATCACAGAGGTCAGGCGTTTCTTGTAGTTGGCCACCAGGTTTGCACACATCTCAGGAAGGATTTTGTCCCACTCCTCTTTGCAGATCTTCTCCAAGTCATTAAGGTTTCGAGGCTGACGTTTGGCAACTCGAACCTTCAGCTCCCTCCACAGATTTTCTATGGGATTAAGGTCTGGAGACTGGCTAGGCCACTCCAGGACCTTAATGTGCTTCTTCTTCAGCCACTCCTTTGTTGCCTTGGCCGTGTGTTTTGGGTCATTGTCATGCTGGAATACACATCCACGACCCATTTTCAATTCCCTGGCTAAGGGCATTGAAAGATTTGACGGTACATGGCCACGTCCATCGTCCCTTTGATGCGGTGAAGTTGTCCTGTTCCCTTAGCAGAAAAACACCCCCAAAGCATAATGTTTCCACCTCCATGTTTGATGGTGGGGATGGTGTTCTTGGGGTCATAGGCACCATTCCTCCTCCTCCAAACACGGCGAGTTGAATTGATGCCAAAGAGCTCCATTTTGATCTCATCTGACCACAAAACTTTCACCCAGTTCTCCTCTGAATCATTCAGATGTTCATTGGCAAACTTCAGACGGGCATGTATATGTGCTTTCTTGAGCAGAGGGACCTTGCGGGCGCTGCAGGATTTCAGTCCTTCACGGCGTAGTGTGTTACCAATTGTTTTCTTGGTGACTATGGTCCCAGCTGCCTTGAGATCATTGACAAGATCCTCCCGTGTAGTTCTGGGCTGATTCCTCACCGTTCTCATGATCATTGCAACTCCACGAGGTGAGATCTTGCATGGAGCCCCAGGCCGAGGGAGATTGACAGTTATTTTGTTTCTTCCATTTGCGAATAATCGCACCAACTGTTGTCACCTTCTCACCAAGCTGCTTGGCGATGGTCTTGTAGCCCATTTCAGCCTTGTGTAGGTCTACAATCTTGTCCTTGACATCCTTGGAGAGCTCTTTGGTCTTGGCCATGGTGGAGAGTTTGGAATCTGATTGATTGATTGCTTCTGTGGACAGGTGTCTTTTATACAGGTAACAAACTGAGATTAGGAGCACTCCCTTTAAGAGTGTGCTCCTAATCTCAGCTCGTTACCTGTATAAAAGACACCTGGGAGCCAGAAATCTTTCTGATTGAGAGGGGGTCAAATACTTATTTCCCTCATTAAAATGCAAATCAATTTATAACATTTTTGACATTCGTTTTTCTGGATTTTTTTGTTGTTATTCTGTCTCTCACTGTTGAAATAAACCTATCATTAAAATTATAGACTGATAATTTCTTTGTCAGTGGGCAAACGTACAAAATCAGCAGGGGATCAAATACTTTTTTCACTCACTGTACATGTCTGGTGTTCTATCCTTTCAACACTACTTTAAGGATTTAACTAGCTACAGAAGCAGAAGTAAACATGTCTGCCTCCAAATTGGAAGAGTTTGAACTGCTCTTACTACTTGTGAGAAAAACAAACGAGGGAGAAAATGGCATGTTCGTCCCTTGAACAATACAAGACGGGATGAAGGTCAACATGATGCGACCATATCCAGGTACGATATTGTAAATGCATGTGACTGGTAATATTATAATGTGAAAACTATGCTAATGTGAATAGAAGTTGTAATGATATGCCTCACATTAAAGTGCTCTGACATCTCAGTAGGAGGATGGGGGCCTGTGTCCAAAGTATAGACTATACAGTTGTTACAGTTCACATTTGATAGCCTTCATGTTCCTGTTCAACACTAATGACATGCTTATTCTTCTGGCCTTGATGATGCCAAGAAGATTTACAACTACCGTCACTCAAGAGCCAGAAAAATTTCAGAGAACTGCTTTGGCATCCATTCTTCGAGCCCTTGAGGTTGCCCCAGAGAAAGCTGAGACCCTCCACAACTACCTACGCACCACAGACACTGACAACACAGAGTCATCGACACAGTACATCAACCCCACGTTTGTTGACTACTCCGCACCCACTGGGGAACTGCATCCAGGAGAGTGGAGACAGGTGGTACAAGAGGACACCGACTTCCTGGACCCAAGAAACATGTTGGCAGACAGGGCAACTGGAGTTGCTATAGATAACATTAAGGTCTACTTCCTCACACCAGCTGGTCGGGTGTCTTTTCCAAAATAATGTATCTTTAGTCTCTCTGTGTTTCATCATTTTCCTTCAATTCGCAAGATGCTGAATGTATCTCACAGGAGAAGGCATCCGAGCGAGCAAAACAGCGCCCCTCTGCCTCTCTACGTGTAGGCCATCTATCTGATGCTGTCTGGTCCAAATGAGTATGACATTGTTGCCGCCCGTAGCATTGAAGGCAAGGGAAGCCAGCGACCATCTGGCCACCCTTGATAAAAAAAAGTCTAAAAAATTAGCCAATCAGCGTTGAGCTAAACTGAGCGAGCTCAACTGTGAATGGTCCTGGTGAACCAAAAAAATTGTCAAGGGAAGCTAGCTTGGATTTGGCGTCACTCCTATCAAATCCCATTGAGAACATACGTCATTGACAGAAACACCTAAATTGTTGCATCTCGTTGTGTTGTTGTCCTCCGGTGGCTAGCTAGCCAGCTAGCTAAAATTGTCCCTTTCCTAAATTAGCCATGGATGGAGATAGGGATTTGGACTTGTGGTTTTACTTAATTCTCTGTACTGGCCAATGATTATAACGGTGATTCTGATCCAACCATTAATTCATACATTGTTGTGCCTCTGCCCTGAGAGGATGGAAGTTCAATATGTAGCTAGATGTAGAAGGCTAATGTTAACTAGCTAACATTGCCCATGAATGGAAGTTAGGCTAGCGAGCAAGCATTTTTTAGCCAGGTAGCCTAGGACAACAAAAACAAAAAGTGTGTAAAAGAGAGGAGGATGGCATTGGCGTTTCTCTACAAGTAGGGTGAGTCAACATGTTCTTCTACTTGTACGAACGCACACCCGCACGCACACACGCACACACGCATGCACACAGAAATCAGAACCATAGACAGCCACATCATATTTAGCTAACATTGATTGGACTAAATTGTTTTTGTTATCTTTAAGTTGTCACTGTATTAGACTAAGCAGAGGTGATTTGATGATGTTGAAGTTGAAATGGTGCTGGAATAGTGGAGGCAACTGTTTTCTTTGCGACTTGCAGTAACTCTCTGTGGTTCTAAATCAATAGTTGTTTAGTGGTCCAAAAATGTCGGAAACATTAACTTGTTTGACCATGTTGTCGGTCATGTAACTGTCTGTTACTGTACATGCAATATGCTTTGTGGACTTCACTGGACAGAGGTTGCTATCTGGTTTTGTGATGAAAAAAAAGGTGTGGTTGAATTTATTCTGCCACTATGTCTTCTTATTGTCTCAGCCTTTAGGCTTATATATCACGGTCGCAAGGCGGGGGGGGGGGGGGGTCTTGGCTTCCCCAGTGATTTTACCCACGCACCGCTACTGTTTCCAGGATGCTGCTATCACACGTGGCACCCTTCAGTAAATGTGTGTGGTTTGGAAAACGTGCACATATGTTCTCTTCCTCTGGGTGACTGTGTCATAGTAGGATCCCCTTTCAAAAGAACTTGTGTTGTGAGCTACACACTTTTTGTAAACATGGTGGTTTTCACTGGTTTTGTTGTTTGGATTTTGCTGTTTTTCTTATTCACACTTTTCAAATCACAATAAAGACACCATAAAGACACACTTCATTCTCATGTTGTTTTTGTTTGTCATATATTTTTCAAAGGCTAATACAGACTACAGGGTTTTGTAACATGTAACAACAGAATTATTGTCCGACATTAAGGATAGACCCCCCAAGACATTACCCTCATCTAAATGGCCATTTACAACCTTGTGTTACGTGTAAGTGTCCTTTAAACCATTTCAATGAGGACCTTCCTGCCATGGTACATGGGTGAGAATGGCTGTCTAGCTGTAGACAATAAGAACATTTAACATTTTTTTTACATTTAGCAGACGCTCTTATCCAGAGCTACTTAGTTTTAGTGAGTGCATACATTTTCATACTGGCCCCCCGTGGGAATCAAACCCACAACCCTGGCGTTGCAAACACCATGCTCTACCAACTGAGCTACACGGGACTACACCAAGAACACACCATCTACATTCAAAGCACTACAAGCTTACTGATTGACTGCTTCAGAATACAGTAATATTTTCTGCCACAAGTATAAATAACCAGACAAAGACATTTGCAGACCTTTTACTAGAAATGTATTTATTTAAATGAACAAAATATAACAAGGAAAATTGTGCAATGTAAAACACAGGGTGCAAATAAGAAGACCATTGTGCCAAACAAAAGGAGCATTAGGAATGTTGTGCAAAGGGGGAATATGAGACGGGGAAATAAGACAAAATCCACAAAAGCAAACCAGTAAATTAGCCACCACCTTAATATGTGAATGATAAAATAAGCCAATGACCAACAAAAAAAACATTCTAAATACCCAGCAACGTAACTTGTGAATAAGAGAAAAAAACAATACAGAAAAACATTTTTAACACCAACATTTGTACAAATGTCTTTATTACACGGGTTCAGTTTTTGGGGTGAGACGGGGGGCGGACTCAAGGTACAGATTGATGATCCTGAAAAAATGCAACGTCATTTCCCTGACAAATGCGATATGGTTGTCAGGAGGAAGACACACTATCCATGGTTCAATGGTGTCAAAGAGGGCACTTGCAGGACTCTGTCGCCGTTGCTATATTTCCTCCACCTGCTGCATAATTTCAGCTTCCAAAGGACTCTCGGCTGTCTTCCTCTACCGGCCACTGGATCTGGGTCGAGCAGATGGGGAGGAGGTTGATGGAGTGCTGTTGATGTGTGTGTGCATGTGTTAAATAAGTATGAATCACCTAACCTGTTGAAAACCATAGCTTCCTATTGGCTCAGTCCCCCTTTGGAATCTGGCCTGACTGGCTGTGTGGCTCCTCCACTTTGATAGATCAGACAGGAAACACTATTGCTCTCTCTCTTTCTACTGGCAGTGAAGCCAAATGAAACCAACCTGAAACTCAGATCAGGCCAAATACGTACAGTTGAAGTCGGAAGTTTACATACACCTTAGCCAAATACATTTAAACTCAGTTTTTCACAATTCCTGACATTTAATCCTAGTAAAAATCCCCTGTCTTAGGTCAGTTAGGATCACCACTTTATTTTAAGAATGTGAAATGTCAGAATAATAGTAGAGAGAATGATTTATTTAAGCTTTTATTTCTTTCATCACATTCCCAGTGGGTCAGAAGTTTACATACACTCAATTAGTATTTGGTAGCATTGCCTTTAAATGGTTTAACTTGGGTCAAACATTTCGGGTAGCCTTCCACAAGCTTCCCAAAATAAGTTGGGTGAGTTTTGGCCCATTCCTCCTGACAGAGATGGTGTAACTGAGTCAGGTTTTTAGGCCTCCTTGCTCGCACACGTTTTTTTCAGTTCTGCCCACAAATGTTCTATAGGATTGAGGTCAGGGCTTTGTGATGGCCACTCCAATACCTTGACTTTGTTGTCCTTAAGCCATTTTGACACAACTTTGGAAGTATGTTTGGGGTCATTGTCCATTTGAAAGACCCATTTGCGACCAAGCTTTAATTTCCTGACTGATGTCTTGAGATGTTGCTTCAATATATCCACATAATTTTCCTTCCTCATGATGCCATCTATTTTGTGAAGTGCACCAGTCCCTCCTGCAGCAAAGCACCCCCACAACATGATGCTGCCACCCCCGTGCTTCACGGTTGGGATGGTGTTCTTCGGCTTGCAAGCCCGCCCCTTTTTCCTCCAAACATAACGATGGTCATTATGGCCAAACAGTTCTATTGTTGTTTCATCAGACCAGAGGACATTTCTCCAAAAAGTACAATATTTGTCCCCATGTGCAGTTGCAAACCGTAGTCTGGCTTTTTGATGGCGGTTTTGGAGCAGTGGCTTCTTCCTTGCTGAGTGGCCTTTCAGGTTATGTCGATATAGGACTAGTTTTACTGTGGATATAGATAATTTTGTACCTGTTTCCTCCAGCATCTTCACAGGGTCCTTTGCTGTTGTTCTGGGATTGATTTGCACTTTTCGCACCAAAGTACATTCATCTCTAGGAGACAGAACGCGTCTCCTTCCTGAGCGGTATAATGGCTGCGTGGTCCCATGGTGTTTATACTTGCGTACTATTGTTTGTACAGATGAACGTGGTACCTTCAGGCATTTGGATATTGCTCCCAAGGATGAACCAGACTTGTGGAGGTCTACAATTTTTTTTCTGAGGTCTTGGCTGATTTCTTTAGATTTTCCCATGATGTCAAGCAAAGATGCACTGAGTTTGAAGGTAGGCCTTGAAATACATCCACAGGTATGTATGCACTCACTAACTGTAAGTCGCTCTGGATAAGAGCGTCTGCTAAATGACTTTAAAAAAAATTATACACCTCCAATTGACTCAAATTATGTCAATTAGTCTAGCAGAAGCTTCTAAAGCCATGACATCATTTTCTGGAATTTTCCAAGCTGTTTAAAGGCACAGTCAACTTAGTGTATGTAAACTTCTGACCCACTGGAATTGTGATACAGTGAATTATAAGTGAAATAATCTGTCTGTAAACAATTGTTGGAAGAATTACTTGTGTCATGCACAAAGTAGATGTCCTAACGGACTTGCCAAAACTATAGTTTGTTAACAAGAAATTTGTGGAGTGGTTGAAAAACGAGTTTTAATGACTCCAACCTAAGTGTATGTAAACTTCCGACTTCAACTGTAGATATTTCTAGAATTAGCCAAGAAATTACAGCAAGGGATATCTGAGACTCTTTCTTAAGTCCATTCTTTTTTCTCTGACATTTACCAGGCAATATAAGCTATTGCCTACAATGGAATGATTTCATTTTCTTCCCCTAGAGCAGTGGGACTTAGCCGGGCCCCATCTGTTGAGTCCTGATAAAGTACAGCAAGCCATTATGGGGCACAACGATCCAGTTGCTGAACCAACCCTTATCTCTGAATGGGTGAAGTTGAAAATGTTGCCAGTGTCGTCTCAAAGGGCACCATTTAAGTCTCCCTGGGTTGGAAAGCAGTAATATTTGAGGAGAGATTAACTTCAAATAGAGAATAAAGGATGTCCATGAAGCACAACTTAATACAACTTAATTTACTGAAAAAAATTTGCTTTGGTAAGCAATGCAGATGAGTGGTGTTTCTAGAGACAGTGAACAGTCCATGTGAAGGGCACACACGAGTTGCTTGTCTTAACATTGCATAAGTGTTACGCAAGGGTTGGTTAACTTTATGACTTGGCATGTAGAAACCATGTGGCCATGTGCAGAAAGTCTAGGCCACATGGTTGGTCTGTTGACTTTGTGGAAGATAGTCAGGCTGGATGGAATCTTTAGTGGCAAAATACCTGTTGAACCAATTCAAATCAACTAGCTACAGGTGCAGTTTTAGCAATTAGATAATAAAAAACACAAGTAATTGGTGAGACAACTTCCCAAAGTATTCTGTCTGTTCCCCTCAGCCAGAAAAACATCTGGAACCTGTATCAATTCTGAGAACTGCCAACCTGTCACAATTTTGAAATACTGCTGAAAAACAACAGAACATGTTAATTGTAACGAATAATCAATCCTGGTCCTGGAGGCCATGGATCTGCCAAGATTTATTGGTCTCTGTCTGATTGTTCAAGAGCAATATAGAGCCAGAGCCGTTGTCAGTCATTTTTACCCATTCCTACATTCTGGCAACCATGACTGTTGACAGCCATATACAGTGCCTTCGGAAAGTATTCAGACCCCTTGACGTTTTCCACATTTTGTTACGTTACACCCTTATTCTAAAATGGATTAAGTATGTTTTTTTCCCTCAGCAATCTACACACAATAACCCATAATGACAAAGCGAAAACAGGTTTTTAGAAATGTTTGCAAATGTATTAAAAATACATAAGTATTCAGACCCTTTGCTATGAGACTCGAAATTGAGCTCAGGTGTGTCCTGTTTCCATTGATCATCCTTGAGATGTTTCTACAACTTGATTGGAGTCCACCTGTGATAAATTCAATTGATTGGACATGATTTGGAAAGGCATACACCTGTCTATATAAGGTCCCACAGTTGATAGTGCATATCAGAGCAAAAACCAAGCCAAGAGGTTGAAGGAATTGGCCGTAGAGCTCAGAGAGAGGATTGTGTTGAGACACAGATCTGGGGAAGGGTACCAAAACATTTCGGTAGCATTGAAGGTCCCCAAGAATAATAATAATATGCCACTTAGCAGACACTTTTATCCAAAGCGACTTACAGTCATGCGTGCATACATTTTTGTGTATGGGTGGTCCCGGGGATCGAACCCACTACCCTGGCGTTACATGCGCCGTGCTCTACCAGCTAAGCTACAGAGGACCATGAGAAACAAGATTATCTGGTCTGATGAAACCAAGATTGAACTCTTTGGCCTGAATGCCAAGCGTCACTTCTGGAGGAAACCTGGCATCATCCCTATGGTGAAGCATGTTGGTGGCAGCATCATGCTGTGGGGATGTTTTTCAGCGGCAGGGACTGGGATCGAGGCAAAGATGAACGGAGCAAAGTACAGAGAGATCCTTGATGAAAACCTGCTCCAGAGCACTCAGGACCTCAGACTGGGGCGAAGGTTCACCTTCCAAAAAGACAACGACCCTAAGCACACAGTCAAGACAACGCAGGAGTGGCTTCGGGACAAGTCTCTGAATGTCCTTGAGTGGCCCAGCCAGAGCCCGGACTTGAACTCAATCGAACATCTCTGGAGAGATCTGAAAATAGCTGTGCAGCAACGCTCCCCATTCAACCTGACAGAGCTTGAGAGGATCTGCAGAGAGGAATGGGAGAAACTCCCCAAATACAGGTGTGCCAAGCTTGTAGCGTCATACCCAAGAAGACTCGAGGCTGTAATCGCTGCCAAAGGTGCTTCGACAAAGTACTGAGTAAAGGACCATTGTTAGGGGGAGGGGCGCGCGTAGACAAGATGGCGTATTGAATAGAAAGCGGTACAAACCACCTCAAGATAAAAACATAATATTCAAAATCAGTAAGTTAGACTAAATATTAGCATTTCATATATTTGCAGTTAATCAAATTCAATCTGGATAATAACACAAAAAAAATCATAAGGCTAGAGAAATATATCGACAAATATTACAACAACACGCAACACCCAAACATGGTGGAAGATAAGCGAGGAGAACCGATCCCCAAGAGGAAACGCGACTCGTCGACTGATACAGATGATATATGCTTTTCACCACTGGGTCTGGTAAGTCTGGAAAGTGACCTGTTGAAGTCGATAAATGGCAAATTGGGCATACTAGAATTGGTCAGTAAGGACGTAGAGAGTTGAAAGCGAGTCTTCAAATGAGTGATGAAAAAGCATTGGTAATGGAGAAAGAAACCAAAAAATTAAAAGTGACAGTCTCTAAGATGGAAACGGACGTTAGGGAACTTAAAAAGGAGAACAACCTTCTGAGAGAAGCCTTACTAGACATCCAAACTAGATCGATGAGAGAAAATCTAGTACTTACGGGTATTCAGGAAAAGGAGGGAGAAATAACCGAGAATATTATGAAGGACTTCCTGCATACAGCGCTTCAAATCCCACTCGAGGCTGTCGATAAAATCCAACTCGAACGTGTACACTGTTTCGGAAAAAGAGGACAGAAATATGAGCGCCCAATCGTTGCCAAATGTGCATTTTTTAAAGATAAAGCAATGGTGAAAAGCCTAGGGAAAAGACTTGCTGACGAAAATAGGCATGAATGATCAGTTCCCGAGGGAGATTGCAGAAAGGCGCAAAGTTCTGTATCCAATCTTCAAGGAAAACAGATTAAAAGGGAAACGTGTTGCACTCGTGGTGGATAAACTGTATATCGACAACCAAATGTTCAGAGACACAAAGACTACTCCATGGCTATTCTAAAAGTTGTAATAGAGGAGTCGAATAATGGAGCACCCAATACTAGCAATGATAGGGATTGCAATATTAAAGAACATTTATAGTAAGTATAGTATTTTATAAAAGGATAAAACGATATAACAAGAAAAGATAACAAGCAGAATAATACATATTTAAATACAACTAATTAGAACATGTATTTTATGGCGGCCGGTTGTTGTTTTGGAGGATGGTTGTTGTGGTTGGTCCTGTGTTCTCTCTGGCATCCTTTCCCCCTTGCGGCAGGTGTGGATGCGGGTGCGTTTGCACGCTCGGCCCATTTCTTCCGCAGTCAACCATGTGGTGTGCATTTTTGTGTTTGGTAAGGTGCGGCATTAAGTGAGTGAGAGGGGAAATGGTTGCATATCCCAGAGCCGATGGGGGTCTATGAGCAGGGGTAGTGAGAGAGAGCTTTCAATTTTGTGTAGATGAGGGATATACATTTTTAAATATAGTATACATCTAATCAAATTTTTTATTGTCCTATCATGATGGAAATATCCCTAACCCTATATCCTGGACACCCACCTGAGCGACCCATACACCAAAGAGAAGTTCCCATCTCTTTTATGGACCTGCTGTGAGTATGCAGCCTAAACAGATAAATAAATGCGGTCAGAGACCTACTTGAGCAGCACCGCCCCCTCAAGATTCTGAGCCTGCCTGGCAGGGTTGGTCCTACAAAGCCAGAGCCCCCTGATAGGAGAGCATTAAGCTGCTAATGAGAACCTTGACGACCTTTCATCTAGCCGGTGGGGATTCCGATGGGGTACCCCCACCCAGGTAGTGGCAGTGCTGGCAACACTGCATTAACCCATGGGGAGGGGGTCACACTCGGACAATCAGAGAGGGGGTTTATCATTGTGGCCCAGGTGGCACAAAATAATCAAAGGTCTGACTGCATGGAGATGCTTGGAAAAAATGGTTACAACAGGGGATCAGAGTGTTTGTGTCTCAGGTGAAGAGGGTGGATCTGATCTCCATCACCTAGGACTTGACATAGATTAAGTAGATTAATCAAATCTCACATTGTTGTCAATTTCTGCTCAATCTGCATGCTTTCTCAATCAGCTGTAACTGTATGTGCACTCGTAAATCAGGTCCTTTCTTGAGCTGGGCTCTGGGATATACAGTGGGGGAAAAAAGTATTTAGTCAGCCACCAATTGTGCAAGTTCTCCCACTTAAAAAGATGAGAGAGGCCTGTAATTTTCATCATAGGTACACGTCAACTATGACAGACAAATTGAGAATTTTTTTTCCAGAAAATCACATTGTAGGATTTTTAATGAATTGATTTGCAAATTATGGTGGAAAATAAGTATTTGGTCACCTACAAACAAGCAAGATTTCTGGCTCTCACAGACCTGTAACTTCTTCTTTAAGAGGCTCCTCTGTCCTCCACTCGTTACCTGTATTAATGGCACCTGTTTGAACTTGTTATCAGTATAAAAGACACCTGTCCACAACCTCAAACAGTCACACTCCAAACTCCACTATGGCCAAGACCAAAGAGCTGTCAAAGGACACCAGAAGCAAAATTGTAGACCTGCACCAGGCTGGGAAGACTGAATCTGCAATAGGTAAGCAGCTTGGTTTGAAGAAATCATCTGTGGGAGCAATTATTAGGAAATGGAAGACATACAAGACCACTGATAATCTCCCTCGATCTGGGGCTCCACGCAAGATCTCACCCCGTGGGGTCAAAATGATCACAAGAACGGTGAGCAAAAATCCCAGAACCACACGGGGGGACCTAGTGAATGACCTGCAGAGAGCTGGGACCAAAGTAACAAAGCCTACCATCAGTAACACACTACGCCGCCAGGGACTCAAATCCTGCAGTGCCAGACGTGTCCCCCTGCTTAAGCCAGTACATGTCCAGGCCCGTCTGAAGTTTGCTAGAGTGCATTTGGATGATCCAGAAGAGGATTGGGAGAATGTCATATGGTCAGATGAAACCAAAATAGAACTTTTTGGTAAAAACTCAACTTGTCGTGTTTGGAGGACAAAGAATGCTGAGTTACATCCAAAGAACACCATACCTACTGTGAAGCATGGGGGTGGAAACATCATGCTTTGGGGCTGTTTTTCTGCAAAGGGACCAGGACGACTGATCCGTGTAAAGGAAAGAATGAATGGGGCCATGTATCGTGAGATTTTGAGTGAAAACCTCCTTCCATCAGCAAGGGCATTGAAGATGAAACGTGGCTGGGTCTTTCAGCATGACAATGATCCCAAACACACCGCCCGGGCAACGAAGGAGTGGCTTCATAAGAAGCATTTCAAGGTCCTGGAGTGGCCTAGCCAGTCTCCAGATCTCAACCCCATAGAAAATCTTTGGAGGGAGTTGAAAGTCCGTGTTGCCCAGCGACAGCCCCAAAACATCACTGCTCTAGAGGAGATCTGCATGGAGGAATGGGCCAAAATACCATCAACAGTGTGTGAAAACCTTGTGAAGACTTACAGAAAACGTTTGACCTGTGTCATTGCCAACAAAGGGTATATAAGAAAGTATTGAGAAACTTTTGTTATTGACCAAATACTTATTTTCCACCATAATTTGCAAATAAATTCATTAAAAATCCTACAATGTGATTTTCTGGATTTTTTTTTCTTCTAATTTTGTCTGTCATAGTTGACGTGTACCTATGATGAAAATTACAGGCCTCTCTCATCTTTTTAAGTGGGAGAACTTGCACAATTGGTGGCTGACTAAATACTTTTCCCCCCCACTGTATATAGGTTTTATGTTGGGAGCTTTTGGGAAAGAGCACAGTTAGAAAGATATGGCATATAGAAGCAAACCGGATGGACATCATGAAAATGATCGGAGAGGTTGACAGTAGAAGTTCAGGAGCAAAAACAAATAAAAAGGAATTATTGTAAAATTGACTGTGTCCATAAAATGTAGATAGTAAGTATAAGCTGTAAGTAGAGGCCTAAGCATTGTTGTTCACTAATTTACCCCAAGTAGGGAAAGGATGGCGGGGTTGAAAAGTAATAAAGGGGAGTATACAGTGGGGAGAACAAGTATTTGATACACTGCCGATTTTGCAGGTTTTCCTACTTACAAAGCATGTAGAGGTCTGTAATGTTTATCATAGGTACACTTCAACTGTGAGAGACGGTAACGAGTTCAAACAGGTGCAGTTAATAAAGGTAATGAGTTGAGAACAGGAGGGCTTCTTAAAGAAAAACTAACAGGTCTGTGAGAGCTGGAATTCTTACTGGTTGGTAGGTGATCAAATACTTATGTCATGCAATAAAATGCAAATTAATTACTTAAAAATCATACAATGTGATTTTCTGGATTTTTGTTTTAGATTCCGTCTCTCACAGTTGAAGTGTACCTATGATAAACATTACAGACCTCTACATGCTTTGTAAGTAGGAAAACCTGCAAAATCAGCAGTGTATCAAATACATGGGTGATTGGAAGTGATGCGGACAATTACATTGATGGAAGTTCCAATCTATCTGCAATATTAAGCTGATCTACACCCCCCCCCCAAAAAAAACGGTGTAAAGAGTATAAATAGTTATTTACATCTGATATTTAAGTTTTTTTTATTTTTAATACATGTCTAAAAACCTGTTTTTGCTTTGTCATTATGGGGTGTTGTGTGTAGATTGATGAGGGATTTTTTTTTTTAAATCCATTTTAGAATAAGGCTGTAACGTGACAAAATGTGGAAAAAGTCAAGGGGTCTGAATACTCTCCGAATGCACTGTATGATAGACATGACCTAGGGGAAAGAACTGTTGCATGTCTTGTATTATAGCACTGTAGGGTGATTGATTCAATAATTGTAGATGCCATATTGCCATTTTATGCCATGGTGATGGTGGTTAAGTCTCTCTCTTTTGCTTGTGACAGATTGATGTATAAGTTTAAACTTTTCCCCTCTCTTTTTCCCCAGGAGGTAGAAGAGGTGGAGGAGGTTAAAGAGCAAATGGTGAACATCGTGAAGGAGAATGTGGTGAAGAGGGTGATAGAGGACGTGTCTCAGGTGGGGATAAAGAGTGAGGTGAGGGAGGTGGAGCCTGTGGTGAAGATGGACACACGTTTCTTCGGAGAGCTGCTGGCGGAGGTTTACAGGAAGAACTGTGACATCCACACCTGCATCTCAGAACACGTGGCCAAGATACGTGGAAGGTGTGTTTTGTTTTTCTCAACATATAGCCATATTTATATATAGCTTTTCCCCCCAGCTCAAAACAGAACAAAATCAATACGAAAGAAACAAGACAGAAACCGAAGGGAGAGGGTAAATCTAGATCCTACTGAGCTGACCAGACTAGGCTATAGTATGAAATACAGTGCTTTAAAACTGCAAAACTTTATTGCATTATTTGAGTTTCAAATGTACATTTAGGGGACTTTTATATGGGAAATCTTTGTTTTTAGAATTTTCTAAATACTTTAAATATTATACATTTCCATGTCGGCTCTATGCCTGGAAATGCCTGGAAATGTCCGGTACAAAGGATCCTAATTTCAAACTCTAAAAAAGTGTTTTAAAAAATGTATTAACTGAAACATGATCTTATGTCGTTTCTTGCAATAGCCCTCTGTGAATTTAAATAATATTTATCTCAACTGTGATTCCTTAAATATGTGTCTGGAGATTTGGTAAACTCCGTCAGATTGACTTGGAATGAGCAGGGTAAGCTATACCATAAGGACCCCTTACTAATGTCCTCATACATGTAGAAAAATGTTGGTCCCATGTTTCATGAGCTGAAATAAAATATCCCAGAAATGTTCCATACACACAAAAAGCTTCTCTCAAATTTGGTGCAAACATTTGTTTACATCCCTGTTAGTGAGCATTTCTCCTTAATAATAATAATAATAATCCATCCACCTGACAGGTGTGGCATTTCAAGAAGCTGATTAAATAGCATGATCATTACACAGGTACAGTGAGGGAAAAAAGTATTTGATCCCCTGCTGATTTTGTACGTTTGCCCACTGACAAAGACATGATCAGTCTATAATTTTAATGGTAGGTTTATTTGAACAGTGAGAGACAGAATAACAACAAAAACATCCAGAAAAACGCATGTCAAAAATGTTATAAATTGATTTGCATTTTAATGAGGGAAATAAGTATTTGACCCCTCTGCAAAACATGACTTAGTACTTGGTGGCAAAACCCTTGTTGGCAATCACAGAGGTCAGACGTTTCTTGTAGTTGGCCACCAGGTTTGCACACATCTCAGGAGGGATTTTGTTCCACTCCTCTTTGTAGATCTTCTCCAAGTCATTAAGGTTTCAAGGCTGACGTTTGGCAACTCGAACCTTCAGCTCCCTCCACAGATTTTCTATGGGATTAAGGTCTGGAGACTGGCTAGGCCACTCTAGGACCTTAATGTGCTTCCTCTTGAGCCACTCCTTTGTTGCCTTGGCCGTGTGTTTTGGGTCATTGTCATGCTGGAATACCCATCCACAACCCATTTTCAATGCCCTGGCTGAGGGAAGGAGGTTCTCACCCAAGATTTGACGGTACATGGCCCCGTCCATCGTCCCTTTGATGCGGTGAAGTTGTCCTGAAAAACACCCCCAAAGCATAATGTTTCCACCTCCATGTTTGACGGTGGGGATGGTGTTCTTGGGGTCATAGGCAGCATTCCTCCTCCTCCAAACACGGCGAGTTGAGTTGATGCCAAAGAGCTCCATTTTGGTCTCATCTGACCACAACACTTTCATCCAGTTCTCCTCTGAATCATTCAGATGTTCATTGGCAAACTTCAGACGACCCTGTATATGTGCTTTCTTGAGCAGGGGGACCTTGCGGGCGCTGCAGGATTTCAGGATTTCAGTCCTTCACGGCGTAGTGTGTTACCAATTGTTTTCTTGGTGACTATGGTCCCAAGACTTCTGGGCTGATTCCTCACCGTTCTCATGATCATTGCATCTCCACGAGGTGAGATCTTGCATGGAGCCCCAGGCCGATGGAGATTTACAGTTATTCTGTGTTTCTTCCATTTGCAAATAATCGCACCAACTGTTGTCACCTTCTCACCAAGCTGCTTGGCAATGGTCTTGTAGCCCATTCCAGCCTTGTGTAGGTCTACAATATTGTCCCTAACATCCTTGGAGAGCTCTGTGGTCTTGGCCATGGTGGAGAGTTTGGAATCTGATTGATTGATTGCTTCTGTGGACAGGTGTCTTTTATACAGGTAACAAGCTGAGATTAGGAGCACTCCCTTTAAGAGTGTGCTCCTAATCTCAGCTCGTTACCCGTATAAAAGACACCTGGGAGCCAGAAACCTTTCTGATTTAGAGGGGGTCAAATACGTATTTCCCTAATTAAAATGCAAATCAATTTATAACATTTTTGACATGCGTTTTTCTGGATTTTTTTGTTGTTATTCTGTCTCTCACTGTTCAAATAAACCTACCATTAAAATTATAGACTGATCATTTCTTTGTCAGTGGGCAAACGTACAAAATCAGCAGGGGATCAAATACTTTTTTCCCTCACTGTACACCTTGTGCTGGGGACAATAAAAGGCCACTCTAAAATGTGCAGTTTTGTCACACAACACAATGCCACAGATGTCTCAAGTTTTGAGGGAGCGTGCAATTGGCATGCTGACTGAAGGAATGTCCACCAGAGCTGTTGCCAGAGAATTGAATGTTAATTTCTCTACCATAAGCCACCTCCAATGTCGTTTTAGAGAATTTGCCAGTATGTCCAACTGGCCTCACAACCGCAGACCACGTGAAACCACGTCAGCCCAGGACCTCCCCATCCGGCTTCTTCACCTTCGGGATCGTCTGAGACCAGCCACCCAGACAGCTGATGAAACTGTGGGTTTGCACAACCGAAGAATTTCTGCTCAAACTGTCAGAAACCGTCTCAGGGAAGCTAATCTGTGTGCTCGTTGTCCTCACCAGGGTCTTGACCTGACTGCAGTTCGGTGTTGTAAGCGACTTCAGTGGGAAAATACTCACCTTTGATGGCCAATTGCACGCTGGAGATATGTGCTCTTCATGGATGAACCCCGGTTTCAACTGTACCGGGCAGAGAGCAGAGCGGTTGGCTGATGTAAATGTTGTGGCGGTGGGGTTATGGAATGGGCAGGCATAAACTACGGACAACAAACACATTTTGATTTTATCAATGGCAATTTGAATGCACAGAGATACCGTGACGAGATCCTGATGCCCATTGTCGTGCCATTCATCCACCACCATCACCTCATGTTTCAGCATGATAATGCATGGCCCCATGTCGCAAGGATCTGTACACAATTCCTGGAAGCTGAAAATGTCCCAGTTCTTCCATGGCCTGCATACTCACCAGACATGTCACCCATTGAGCATGTTTGGGATTGCTCTGGATCGATGTGCACGACAGCGTGTTCCAGTTCCCGCCAATATCCAGCAACTTCGCACAGCCATTGAAGAGGAGTGGGACAACATTCCACAGGCTACAATCAAAAGCCTGATCAACTCTATGCGAAGGAGATGTGTCGCGCTGCATGATGCAAATGGTGGTCACAGTAGATACTGACTGGTTTTCTGATCCACACCCCTACCTTATTTTTTAAAGGTATCTGTGATCAACAGATGCATATCTGTATTCCCAGTAATGCGAAATCCATAGATTAGGGCCTGTTGAATTATTTCAATTGACTGATTTCCTTATATGAACTGTAACTCAGTAAAATCTTTGAAATTGTTGCATGTTGCGTTTATATTTTTGTTCAGTGTACATTTAATTAAGTTTTAGAGTCATAAAGCAACTGACAAAAACCAAGATTGCTACTGTGTGTACCACTTGAATGAAGAAGGAAAAAAAATGTTTGTCAACTCCGCAAAACATAAACTCTGTCAGATTTTTATCTAACGTCAACTCCATCAAAGTGCTGAAAGATCTGATAGAATGGTTTTGTTTTTATTGGGGATTTATAAATGAATAATTTTCCATATTTTACAAATGGTTGTATTGAACTTTTATTTTTAGAGGCAGAAATATGTCTGTTTTGAATATCTGTTGTCAACTCCGTCAGTGGCTTGTCAACTGTGTCATTGATGGCTAACCCCCTGAAGATCATATTCTTTTGTCAATATTCAAAAAAAAATATTTTAATCACTGTTTTGCAATATATGCTTAAACAATTGAAGTGTTTGCTGTGCTAGACCTAAGGGATAATGTTTGCTTTATAAATGTTGTTCTATATTCCAAATTAAAAAAAAAAACATGCCAAAATGCTTAAAGCATTTGCCCTGGAGCATTTAATAGTGCTATAAAACAAAACAAAAATACGTTTGGAGATTTTTATTACATATTTGAATAATCTAATGTTAGAATTAAACAATCATGGTCTTTAAACACTTGTTGGACAATAATTGGTATTTTACCAAATAGGGCTATCTTCTGTATACCCCCCTTACCTTGTCACAACACAACTGATTGGCTCAAACGCATTAAGAAGGAAAGAAATTCCACAAATTAATTTTTAAGAAGTCATACCTGTTCATTTAAATGCATTCCAGGTGACTACCTCATGAAGCTGGTTGAGAGAATGCCAAGAGTGTGCAAAACTGTCATCAAGGCAAAGGGTGGCTATTTGAAGAATCTCAAATATAAAATATATTTTGATTTGTTTAACACTTTTTTGGTTACTACATGATTCCATATGTGTATTTCATGGTTTTGATGTCTTCACTACAATGTAAAAAATAGTAAAAATTAAGAAAAACCCTTGAATGAGTAGATGTATCCAAACTTTTGACTGGTAGTGTATATTTCAAATTTTGTCCGGTCTTTCAAGAATACCTGACCTCAAAAACAGCATTTTCACTCTGCCCCATGGCAAAAAAACACACAAAAAACACCTGCAACTGGAAACTGACATTTCTAAGATACTTTTTTCACTGAATCGAGAACAAAGAAAGTATAGCCAAGAACAGGTTAGTTGAATAATCTATGGCGGCAGTTTGTATGGGGCTTTCCTGTAACGCCCAGTAATGGACACCAAAAATCTTTGGTTATATCACATTATCTACTGTACAATCTGTAGCTAGGCTGCATCATGTTAGCTCCCCACTCATGCTGCACAGAAGTTAACACACTTGAATAATGCAACACAGCATGTAGAAATGTTGCAACTGTTAATTACTGTTCGCAAGACAATGTCTATGCAAGAAGATACCGGTAGCTTCCAGTTTTGTAGGCTAACTTTCCTTGCTAGCTTACAGCTGAAGTCAACATCAATTCACTACCCTAGTACTTTGTTTGTGATAATATGCAAACCATAACACAAAATATGAGGATCTCAAAGCTGATTGTCACCTAAAATCATACAGTCATTGCCAAGAACTTTATTAATTAACTTTGTGTCCTTCGCCTCAGTCACGTCTCTCCTCTCTCTCTCACTGTGTGTGTGAATGACATTATTAGGTCTTAGAGACAGCGCACAATTTTATAAAATAAATGACGGCTTCTTCTATGCAAATGTTGTTGATCAGTACAATAAAATAAGTTCCACATGGAAAGGAAACAGATTGTTTGTCATCTGTAGCCCCATGAAATCAGCCAAAACAAGCTCAATAACTCAATACATGCACACACTCCTATTGAATATGCATTCCCCTATATTGTGAATAGGCCTAGCTTACATCTTGATTTACCCAGTTTATCAATAGAGATTTACCATTAAATAAATGATTACCATTATGGTGTTATGTTGTTAGATTGGTAAAAACACAGTCAAATTGATTGTACAATTGATTCATTAATGCATACATGGCTGTCTCTGAAAAATGTACATAAAACATTTCAAATGTAATGATATTGAACTCAAAAGACCTGCCTGGATCAAGTGCCATTTTGTGACTGGCTAATATGCCCTTTTTTTTGTTGCCGTGGTATCGTTTTGGTATCGAGTATTGTGATGGTATCGAGTATCGTGATACTAAACCTAGTATCTGTCACGATCGTCAGGGAGAGACCAATGCGCAGCGTGATGAACGAACATGATTACTTTATTTAATTAAAGTGCACACACGAAACAACAAAACAATAAACGACTCGTGAAGTCCACGGTAACAATGACCGACATGGAACAAAAACCCACAAACACAAAGTGAAAAACAGACAGTTAAATATGGCTCCCAATCAGAGACAACCAGCCAACAGCTGACACTCGTTGCCTCTGATTGGGAGTCACTCAGGCAAACATAGAAAACAACAAACTAGAACCCCCAACATAGAAATAAACCACATAGAATGAACACACCCTGGCTCAACATATAGAGTCCCAGAGCCAGGGTGTGACAGTATCGGTATCGATGTCAAAATTCTGGTATCGTGACAACACTATTGTAGGGCTGGTTTCAGGGGCTGGTTCAGTATTTAAATCATCTGTGTTAACTCTGGCTCTCCTGTTTCCTCAGTTTCACACTTGGTTCAGAAAGTCCCTCTAACTTAACTTGCCAGGCTAGGTCATAAAAGACTGTCAAGGTGTGAGGCAGGTCGTGGGCTAATATTCTAACTGAGAGGCCCTATAACTGAATATAATATATGCAGTGCCTTCAGAAAGTATTCACACCCATTGACTTTTTCCACATGTTGTGTTACAGCATGAATTTAAAATGGATTACATTGAGATATTTTGTCACTTGCCTACACACAATACCCCATAATGTCAAAGTGCAATTATGTTTTTAGAATTTTTTACAAATTAATTAAAAATGAAAAGCTGAAATGTCTTGAATCCGTAAGTATTCAACCCTTTGTTATGGCAAGCCTAAATAAGTTCAGGAGTAAACATTTGCTTAACAAGTCACGTAATATGTTTTATGGACTAATAATAGTGTTTAACATGATTTTTGAATGACTACTTAATCTCTGTACCCCACACATACAATTAACTGTAAGGTCCCTCAGTCGAGCAGTGAATTTCAAACATCTTAAAAAATGTTTTCACTTTGTTATTACGGGCTATTGTGTGTAGATGGGTGAGAACGTTTATTTTTGAATCCATTTTGAATTCAGGCTGTAACACAACAAAATGTGGAATAAGTCAAGGGGTATGAATACTTTCTGAAGGCACTGTATTCATATATATATATATATATATATATATGCTGATTTTGTACGTTTGCCCACTGACAAAGAAATGATCAGTCTATAATTTGAATGGTAGGTTTATTTGAACAGTGAGAGACAGAATAACAACAAAAAAATCCAGAAAAACGCATGTCAAAAATGTTATAAATTGATTTGCATTTTAATGAGGGAAATAAGTATTTGACCCCCTCTCAATCAGAAAGATTTCCGGCTCCCAGGTGTCTTTTATACAGGTAACGAGCTGAGATTAGGAGCATACTCTTAAAGGGAGTGCTCCTAATCTCAGCTTGTTACCTGTATAAAAGACACCTGTCCACAGAAGCAATCAATCAATCAGATTCCAAACTCTCCACCATGGCCAAGACCACAGAGCTCTCCAAGGATGTCAGGGACAAGATTGTAGACCTACACAAGGCTGGAATGGTCTACAAGACCATTGCCAAGCGGCTTGGTGAGAAGGTGACAACAGTTGGTGCGATTATTCGCAAATGGAAGAAACACAAAAGACTGTCAATCTCCCTCGGCCTGGGGCTCCATGCAAGATCTCACCTTGTGGAGTTGCAATGATCATGAGAACGGTGAGGAATCAGCCCAGAACTACGCGGGAGGATCTTGTCAATGATCTCAAGGCAGCTGGGACCATAGTCACCAAGAAAACAATTGGTAACACACTACGCCGTGAAGGACTGAAATCCTGAAATCCTGCAGCGCCCGCAAGGTCCCCCTGCTCAAGAAAGCACATATACAGTGGGGAAAAAAAGTATTTAGTCAGCCACCAATTGTGCAAGTTCTCCCACTTAAAAAGATGAGAGAGGCCTGTAATTTTCATCATAGGTACACGTCAACTATGACAGACAAATTGAGAATTTTTTTCTCCAGAAAATCACATTGTAGGATTTTTAATGAATTGATTTGCAAATTATGGTGGAAAATAAGTATTTGGTCACCTACAAACAAGCAAGATTTCTGGCTCTCACAGACCTGTAACTTCTTCTTTAAGAGGCTCCTCTGTCCTCCACTCGTTACCTGTATTAATGGCACCTGTTTGAACTTGTTATCAGTATAAAAGACACCTGTCCACAACCTCAAACAGTCACACTCCAAACTCCACTATGGCCAAGACCAAAGAGCTGTCAAAGGACACCAGAAACAAAATTGTAGACCTGCACCAGGCTGGGAAGACTGAATCTGCAATAGGTAAGCAGCTTGGTTTGAAGAAATCAACTGTGGGAGCAATTAATAGGAAATGGAAGACATACAAGACCACTGATAATCTCCCTCGATCTGGGGCTCCACGCAAGATCTCCCCCTGTGGGGTCAAACTGATCACAGGAACGGTGAGCAAAAATCCCAGAACCACACGGGGGGACCTAGTGAATGACCTGCAGAGAGCTGGGACCAAAGTAACAAAGCCTACCATCAGTAACACACTACGCCGCCAGGGACTCAAATCCTGCAGTGCCAGACGTGTCCCCCTGCTTAAGCCAGTACATGTCCAGGCCCGTCTGAAGTTTGCTAGAGTGCATTTGGATGATCCAGAAGAGGATTGGGAGAATGTCATATGGTCAGATGAAACCAAAATAGAACTTTTTGGTAAAAACTCAACTCGTCGTGTTTGGAGGACAAAGAATGCTGAGTTGCATCCAAAGAACACCATACCTACTGTGACGCATGGGGGTGGAAAAATCATGCTTTGGGGCTGTTTTTCTGCAAAGGGACCAGGACGACTGATCCGTGTAAAGGAAAGAATGAATGGGGCCATGTATCGTGAGATTTTGAGTGAAAACCTCCTTCCATCAGCAAGGGCATTGAAGATGAAACGTGGCTGGGTCTTTCAGCATGACAATGATTCCAAACACACCGCCCGGGCAACGAAGGAGTGGCTTCGTAAGAAGCATTTCAAGGTCCTGGAGTGGCCTAGCCAGTCTCCAGATCTCAACCCCATAGAAAATCTTTGGAGGGAGTTGAAAGTCTGTGTTGCCCAGCGACAGCCCCAAAACATCACTGCTCTAGAGGAGATATGCATGGAGGAATGGGCCAAAATACCAGCAACAGTGTGTGAAAACCTTGTGAAGACTTACAGAAAATGTTTGACCTGTGTCATTGCCAACAAAGGGTATATAACAAAGTATTGAGAAACTTTTGTTATTGACCAAATACTTATTTTCCACCATATTTTGCAAATAAATTCATAAAAAATCATACAATGTGATTTTCTGGAATTTTGTTTCTCATTTTGTCTGTCATAGTTGACGTGTATCTATGATGAAGATTACAGGCCTCTCTCATCTTTTTAAGTGGGAGAACTTGCACAATTGGTGGCTGACTAAATACTTTTTTTCCCCACTGTACAGGGCCGTCTGAAGTTTGCAAATGAACATCTGAATGATTCAGAGGAGAACTAGGTGAAAGTGTTGTGGTCAGATGATACCAAAATCGAGCTCTTTCGCATCAATTCAACTCGCCGTGTTTGGAGGAGGAGGAATGCTGCCTATAACCCCAAGAACATCATCCCCACTGTCAAACATGGAGGTGGAAACATTATACTTTGGGGGTGTTTTTCTGCTAAGGGGACAGGACAACTTCACCGCATCAAAGGGACGATGGACGGGGCCATGTACCGTCAAATCTTGGGTGAGAACCTCCTTCCCTCAGCCAGGGCATTGAAAATGGGTCGTGGATGGGTATTCCAGCATGACAATGACCCAAAACACACGGCCAAGGCAACAAAGGAGTGGCTCTAGAAGAGGCACATTAAGGTCCTGGATTGGCCTAGCCAGTCTCCAGACCATAATCCCATAGAAAATCTGTGGAGGGAGCTGAAGGTTCGAGTTGCCAAACGTCAGCCTCGAAACCTTAATGACTTGGAGAAGATCTGCAAAGAGGAGTGGGACAAAATCCCTCCTGAGATGTGTGCAAACCTGCTGGCCAACTACAAGAAACGTCTGACCTCTGTGATTGCCAACAAGGGTTTTGCCACCAAGTACTAAGTCATGTTTTGCAGAGGGGTCAAATACTTATTTCCCTCATTAAAATGCAAATCAATTTATAACATTTTTGACATGCGTTTTTCAGGATTTTTTTGTTGTTATTCTGTCTCACTGTTCAAATAAACCTACCATTAAAATTATAGACGGATCATGTCTTTGTCAGTGGGCAAACGTACAAAATCAGCATGGGATCAAATACTTTTTTCCCTCACTGTATATATATAAAGGTGCATAATGTAATAATGTAAAACTCACAGGAATTTAATGTAAAACTCAGTAATGTATAGGCCTGCATATTCCCCTTTCTAAATACACCCGTAGTGTAATCCATCACTGTAAATCCTGTAATTAGTCACTAGACATTACAACCGTCAGTCAAACCTGACCTCTCTCATTTCTCTAAACTCTCTGTTTACTCATAGTACCTGTGATTCACTGAGCAAACACATCCCTTTGTTCCCTTCTGCTGCTGACTCAATGATAACCTGTATAGACTGGAGACAGAGATGGTTTATTCAATCTAATTGTGTGTTTGTCATGCCCTGTAATGTGTTTACCTTTCCATCTCTCTCCCAGGAAACACCTCTTAGATCCCAGTAATGACTACAAGGTACAGCAGGGAGGGGTGACCAATGGTTTTACATATCATATTAGTCTTGTACTGTTTAAATTGCTGTACAGTAGCTATTTATATATGCTGGAAGTGAAAGTATGAAATGAAAGTAACCATTTGATGCTCACGTGTGTATTCAGGTAGAGAGAGAGGACATTGAGGCCCTGATCCCCAAAGGAGCATCTGAGCTGACCAAACAGCAGATCCGCTACCTGCTGCAGGTAACACCAGGGGCAGACTGGGACAAAAATTCAGCCCTGGCATTTCAATCACTGCGCCTGCTACTTACACACCCAGGCAGTAATTCTACTGACACATAACATAGGCAACTTTACTCTACCAGTGACCGGTGAAACATAGTCCTCCTCCTTTTTTAACCAGCTCATGTTTAAGACAAGTACAACATGTAAAAGCACCACTGGAAACACAACTCACCACTTTAACTGTGCCTCTGTTGCCTCCCTGTTGTGCTGTCTGTCTCTGCATCTTCTCTGCTGTCACTCTGTCTCTGTCTGTCTGTCTGTCTGTATGTCTGTCGGTCTGTTCTTCTCCTTTTTCTCCTCTCTGTCACTCTGTCTGTCACTCCTAAGTGTTAATTGCTATTAAATATAGAGCCAACATATTAAGGAACTGGCAGTACATCTGTGTCTCTCTGTTTTCTTCCTACCTCCACTGCACTCATCTCTGAGCTACAGTGGGGAAAAAAAGTATTTAGTCAGCCACCAATTGTGCAAGTTCTCCCACTTAAAAAGATGAGAGAGACCTGTAATTTTCATCATAGGTACACGTCAACTATGACAGACAAAATGAGAAAAAAAAATCCAGAAAATCACATTGTAGGATTTTTAATGAATTTATTTGCAAATTATGGTGGAAAATAAGTATTTGGTCAATAACAAAAGTTTCTCAATACTTTGTTATATACCCTTTGTTGGCAATGACACAGGTCAAACGTTTTCTGTAAGTCTTCACAAGGTTTTCACACACTGTTGCTGGTATTTTGGCCCATTCCTCCATGCAGATCTCCTCTAGAGCAGTGATGTTTTGGGGCTGTCGCTGGGCAACACGGACTTTCAACTCCCTCCAAAGATTTTCTATGGGGTTGAGATCTGGAGACTGGCTAGGCCACTCCAGGACCTTGAAATGCTTCTTACGAAGCCACTCCTTCGTTGCCCGGGCGGTGTGTTTGGGATCATTGTCATGCTGAAAGACCCAGCCACGTTTCATCTTCAATGCCCTTGCTGATGGAAGGAGGTTTTCACTCAAAATCTCACGATACATGGCCCCATTCATTCTTTCCTTTACACGGATCAGTCATCCTTGTCCCTTTGTAGAAAAACAGCGCCAAAGCATGATGTTTCCACCCCCATGCTTCACAGTAGGTATGGTGTTCTTTGGATGCAACTCAGCATTCTTTGTCCTCCAAACACGACAAGTTGAGTTTTTATCAGAAAGTTCTATTTTGGTTTCATCTGACCATATGACATTCTCCCAATCCTCTTCTGGATCATCCAAATGCACTCTAGCAAACTTCAGATGGGCCTGGACATGTACTGGCTTAAGCAGGGGGACACGTCTGGCACTGCAGGATTTGAGTCCCTGGCGGCGTAGTGTGTTACTGATGGTAGGCTTTGTTACTTTGGTCCCAGCTCTCTGCAGGTCATTCACTAGGTCCCCCCGTGTGGTTCTGGGATTTTTGCTCACCGTTCTTGTGATCATTTTGACCCCACAGGGTGAGATCTTGCGTGGAGCCCCAGATCGAGGGAGATTATCAGTGGTCTTGTATGTCTTCCATTTCCTAATAATTGCTCCCACAGTTGATTTCTTCAAACCAAGCTGCTTACCTATTGCAGATTCAGTCTTCCCAGCCTGGTGCAGGTCTACAATTTTGTTTCTGGTGTCCTTTGACAGCTCTTTGGTCTTGGCCATAGTGGAGTTTGGAGTGTGACTGTTTGAGGTTGTGGACAGGTGTCTTTTATACTGATAACAAGTTCAAACAGGTGCCATTAATAAAGGTAACGAGTGGAGGACAGATGAGCCTCTTAAAGAAGAAGTTACAGGTCTGTGAGAGCCAGAAATCTTGCTTGTTTGTAGTTGACCAAATACTTATTTTCCACCATAATTTGCAAATAAATTCATAAAAAATCCTACAATGTGATGTTCTGGATTTCTTTCCCTCAATTTGTCTGTCATAGTTGACGTGTACCTATGATGAAAATTACAGGCCTCTCTCATCTTTTTAAGAGGGAGAACTTGCACAATTGGTGGCTGACTAAATACTTTTTTTCCCCACTGTATCTCTACTAAGCCTAGCATCCTTTACCACACCACTGGTAACAGTGCCTGTAGTGGGCCCAGCAACATCCTAGGGTAACACTTTATTTTAAGGGTCCATAATAAACCATTTGTAAGGCATTATAAGGCATTTACAAACCATTTGCTTACCATTTATTAATCATTACGCCCACATTTGTAAATGTTAGTAAGCTAGTTATTCACACATGTATATACACTGAGTATACGAAACATTAGGAACACTTTCCTAATATTCCCTTTTGCCCTCACAACAATCTCAATTCGTAAGGGCATGGACTCTACAAGGTGTCGAAAGCGTTCCACAGGGATACTGGCCCATGTTGACTCCAATGCTTCCCACTGTCAAGTTGGCTGGATGTCCTTTGGGTGGTGGACCATTCTTGATACACACAGGAACCTGTTGAGCGTGAAAAACCCAGCATCGTTGCAGTTCTTGCCACAAACCGGTGTGAAATTTGGTCTAGATGATGAACAGGTAGCCTCAACTGCCGTTCAGACTTGCCGAGATAATCAGCAACCTAGCTATCAGTGACCAGACATTTTCATGGAGACACACAGCAACTTAGCGCTCTGGGCCCGGTTTCCCGATAGCAATGCAACTTAGGCTTAGAAGGGTTTTAACAATGCATCATTCCTACAACGGCCAAAGATCCACAATACTGACCACGGATCAGCTCCTAGAGAGATACAGTATCACCTTATGGCTGCAAATATTGAGGTGTCTTATTCTAATGCTTATGTAGCCTATAGGCCTGTTTATGGTTTTATGCAGTCATCTCGGTTTTCATTTGAATCATCTTTTTATCCTTCGCTTGTTCAATATCATAGACATTGGCAACTTTGTATTTGTAGTCAACTTCGTTACGAAGTTATCGGCGGTCACAGAGAGACAGATAAACAGCTTGATTCAATGTTAGCAGAGATCTTCTGTGTATAAAGTGGAATGGAAGGGCAAAAACAAATCTAACGATGCACTTAGCTGTTCTAAATAAATAACGAGCGTTTTCAAGTGCAACTTTACTAACGATGGTTTTGATGTAACGATGCTCCTACGAAGGTTCTAACGATGAACTTAATCTTAAAATGATTTTGGGAAACCAGGCCCTGGATGACACAGCTAGAGACCAGTTGAAAATGTTCCCCGTCTATACAAATTTCTGCGACGCGACTGCACGACAGGGCAGCTCTCGATAGCAAGCTTTGATATTGGCTAACAACCAAACTGCTGTCATGCTGTTTGAAGGATAAATTCACGAGGGGAGGTCTCAGTGACTTGATCGCTGATTATCTCGACAAGGGTGAGTTCCTGGTAAGGAAAGATTCTACACACCCTGGCCTGTTCAACCCTCTCTCAATAGAAAACATGTGACAATGTCTAAGTGTCGGCATTCAGTTAGTCTCCTGAGTGGCGCAGTGGTCTAAGGCACTGCATCACAGTGCTAACTGTGCCACTAGAGATCCTGGTTCGAATCCAGGCTCTGTCGCCGCCGGCCGCGACCGGGAGACTCATGGGCGGCGCACAATTGGCCCAGCGGTCGTCCAGGGTAGGGGAGGGAATGGCCGGCAGGGATGTAGCTCAGTTGATAGAGCATGGCGTTTGCAACGCCAGGGTTGTGGGTTCGATTCCCACGGGGGGCCAGTATAAAAAAAAAATATGTATTCACTAACTGTAAGTCGCTCTGGATAAGAGCGTCTGCTAAATGACTAAAATGTAATGTAAATGTAAATTACACTGGTCACTCATAATATTTATAAAGTATAAATAGCCCTCACTTTAGATTAGGGGCTGCAAAAATACTTTAATAATGATTAGTAAATAGTTTATTAATGTGGGAGTAATGATAAAAATGTATAAATGCCTTATAAATGGATTATTACGGCCCCTTAAAATAAAGTTACCCATCCAGGTTGTGAATTAATAAACACATATATTAGAGAAAGAAGAAAATCACTGAATAAATGCCTTTATAGATGACCATTGGCTTATATAATACATTATAAAAGCCTAACTATTCTGAACAAGGAGTATGCTGAGGAGTATTTCTATTTTTAATCAAGCCCTTTTGTGGGGAAAAACTCATTCTGATTGGCTGGGCCTGGCTCCCCAGTGGGTCGGCCTGGCTGCCAAGTGGGTGGGTCTATGCCCTCCCAGGCCCACCCATGGCTGCACCCCTGCCCAGTCATGTGAAATCCATAGATTAGGGCCTAATTTATTTATTTCAATTGACTGATTTCCTTATATGAACTGTAACTCAGTAAAATCTTTCAAATTAGTGCATGTCAAGTGTCCCCCCCCTTCCCACTTAGCTACGTGTTTAGATATTAGGCTACATATAATTCAATAGAAGAAAACAGAGAGCGAGAAGGAGAGAGAAAGACTGCCAGTTCCTTAATGTTTTGGCTGCCAATGGCTATATTAAGGAACTGGCAGTCTCTCTCTCTCCCTATCTCTCAGTTTTCTTCTATTGAATTCAATATGACAGTCTATGTTTGTCAAGAATGATGCCGGGAATAGTTTATATGAATGCAGATAGATTTCCAGCATTGTGCTTCATATGCGTATCTTTCTGCCAAGAAGTGACCGGCCTTTCAGCAAATGAAATATGCGGGAGATAGGCGGGACTTTCCTGCCTTCAGTGCGGTGGCTATGTAATGTAATCTGACACTTGTTAGTCACTTGTTACTACAGCTCATAAACTCACTCGCTGGGCTGAAGAGACTTAGATTCAGAAGCAAATAAACTTAGATAAAACAATTAAAATACACAGACAGTCCCCGAATATACCTTTATTGTAATACATGATGACTTGTGTTTAGTAAAAAGCACTATATACAGAGTACGTGCCTAGTAGATGGCTATTGCCTTAACTATGTGTTATAAAAGCCAATCTAACGACTTGTTAGGCTATATTGCAAGGAGCCTAGTGTCTAAATATTCCCCCGAATCCCACTTCCCTAATTAGCCTATTATAGTAGATATGAAATATATTTCATACAATTTACAGCCAAAATATTAAGCCTAACAGGCAGCAGTAGGCTACATAATCTGTGTCAGTGTACATGAGTGTGTATTTCTCTGTTTTCTTCCTACCTCGACTGCACCACAGCAGCTGATCTGTCATTTCTCACAGACACAACACTCGGACCAACAGAACCAGAACTTTTAGAAAATGCGTCGGCCTCGAGCCCTTTCCGTTTTTCTGTTTTGACTGAGTGACTGACAGATTCAGGGCGGGTCTCACTCTCTGATGATGCGTGTTTGACTTTGAATGTGAATTTGCGCCATCTCAGCTCAGCAATCAGAAAACCAGGCAAGCCCATCTTGGTAGGGGGGCCGGCCGTTGCCCACTGGTCAGTCAAATGCTCAATATAGATGTTTATGACAACAGAGTTATAGCGCAAAAGTCATACAAAGAAACAGGCCCATGGGCCACTGGCCGTGTCCATTATTTTTAAAAATATTTAATACAGTGGGGGAAAAAAGTATTTAGTCAGCCACCAATTGTGCAAGTTCTCCCACTTAAAAAGATGAGAGAGGCCTGTAATTTTCATCATAGGTACACGTCAACTATGACAGACAAAATGAGGAAAAAAAATCCAGAAAATCACATTGTAGGATTTTTAATGAATTTATTTGCAAATTATGGTGGAAAATAAGTATTTGGTCACCTACAAACACGCAAGATTTCTGGCACTCACAGACCTGTAACTTCTTCTTTAAGAGGCTCCTCTGTCCTCCCCTCGTTACCTGTATTAATGGCACCTGTTTGAACTTGTTATCAGTATAAAAGACACCTGTCCACAACCTCAAACAGTCACACTCCAAACTCCACTATGGCCAAGACCAAAGAGCTGTCAAAGGACACCAGAAACAAAATTGTAGACCTGCACCAGGCTGGGAAGACTGAATCTGCAATAGGTAAGCAGCTTGGTTTGAAGAAATCAACTGTGGGAGCAATTATTAGGAAATGGAAGACATACAAGACCACTGATAATCTCCCTCGATCTGGGGCTCCACGCAAGATCGGTCAAAATGATCACAAGAACGGTGAGCAAAAATCCCAGAACCACACGGGGGGACCTAGTGAATGACCTGCAGAGAGCTGGGACCAAAGTAACAAAGCCTACCATCAGTAACACACTACGCCGCCAGGGACTCAAATCCTGCAGTGCCAGACGTGTCCCCCTGCTTAAGCCAGTACATGTCCAGGCCCGTCTGAAGTTTGCTAGAGTGCATTTGGATGATCCAGAAGAGGATTGGGAGAATGTCATATGGTCAGATGAAACCAAAATAGAACTTTTTGGTAAAAACTCAAGTCGTCGTGTTTGGAGGACAAAGAATGCTGAGTTGCTTCCAAAGAACACCATACCTACTGTGAAGCATGGGGGTGGAAACATCATGCTTTGGGGCTGTTTTTCTGCAAAGGGACCAGGACGACTGATCCGTGTAAAGGAAAGAATGAATGGGGCCATGTATCGTGAGATTTTGAGTGAAAACCTCCTTCCATTTGCAAGGGCATTGAAGATGAAACGTGGCTGGGTCTTTCAGCATGACAATGATCCCAAACACACCGCCCGGGCAACGAAGGAGTGGCTTCGTAAGAAGCATTTCAAGGTCCTGGAGTGGCCTAGCCAGTCTCCAGATCTCAACCCCATAGAAAATCTTTGGAGGGAGTTGAAAGTCCGTGTTGCCCAGCGACAGCCCCAAAACATCACTGCTCTAGAGGAGATCTGCATGGAGGAATGGGCCAAAATACCAGCAACAGTGTGTGAAAACCTTGTGAAGACTTACAGAAAACGTTTGACCTGTGTCATTGCCAACAAAGGGTATATAACAAAGTATTGAGAAACTTTTGTTATTGACCAAATACTTATTTTCCACCATAATTTGCAAATAAATTCATAAAAAATCCTACAATGTGATTTTCAGGATTTTTTTCCTCATTTTGTCTGTCATAGTTGACGTGTACCTATGATGAAAATTACAGGCCTCTCTCATATTTTTAAGTGGGAGAAATTGCACAATTGGTGGCTGACTAAATACTTTTTTCCCCCACTGTATTCATTATTTTCTTTGTCCATTTTGACGGCCAATCCGCCCATGGACAACACATATTCCTTTCGTTGTTCCACTATGCCTGAAACTGGCTCATAAAACCTCACCTAACCTCCTATCTCTCTCTGTCTCTGTCTCTCCTTTTTTCTCACTTTTCTTTCATCAATATCTCTCCTTTATTTTCTTTCTTTCTCTCTCGCTCTCCCTCCCTCACTCCCTCGCTCCCACCCTCTTTCTCCTCCCTCATTCTCAGACCCGTTTGACAGCAGACAAGACCATGCGTCTCCTTCTGACTACCTTCAGCAGTCTGAGGGAGGAGCTGATCCACATGTCAGAGGACCTGAGGGTATGACCTGGGGCCTGGGCCCCTATAGGAACCTCTTATGCTCTTATCTTAACTGTCTCATTGAGATATACATGCAGGCAGGCCATCTTACAGTCTTACTGTCTCTGTCTCTTTTCTCCCAGCGTCTGGAGAGTGAGAAGCAGTCCCTGGAGAGAGACCTGAGCTTCAAGGCTGACCAGGCTGAGCAGTATGACCGCCTCCTAGAGGCCATACGAGAGAACAACAGACAGCTACAGGTAGGTGTGTGTGAGAATTTGTGAGAGTGTGTATGTGTGTGTCTTCTACTGTGTGTTTGCCTGCGTGTACACCTCCTCTGTAGGTGTTTTTGAAAGAGAGTATCTCTGCCCTGTATGTTAGTGCAATGGGTGTATGACTGTGTGAGTAACTCTATCCATCCATCCATATAGATATCTCTGAAGGAAAGCAGCTCCAGCCAGCGGACCCTGGAGACTCAGCTCCTGAGCAGCCGCACTACAGACTCAGGCAGGGACTTCCGCATCAAAGAACTGGAGGGCAGCTACCGAGCCATGGAGAAGGAAAACGAGATGCTCAAACAGAAGGTACTCTAACGCTACCCTCCTCCATCTCTGACTCTAACCCATCTCACTTCAGATAATAAATTCTTAGCAATTCGTCCTACTCATGATGACTGAACTCATAGATCGAATTTCCTTAACTAACTTGTGTCTCCCTCTGTATCCTTCTTCATCCAGTTGGCTGGCCAGTGCAGCAGTAGCACCATTCAGATGAAGACAGAGGAGCTGTCACGTCAGTACTCGGAGCAGCTAGCTGCCCTGCGCCAGGAGAAGGACAAGGAACTGCAGAGCCTCAGGGTGAGAAGCCTACAGGGATGCATGGATACAGGGATGCGGCCTTCCTGCTCTGGTGGAAGTACTGTAGCAGTACTGACTGTGCTTGTGAGAAGAAATATGGGTAGCTAGTGGTTATACTGACTGTGAGTGTCTCTGACTATCTGTCTGTCTGTCCAGACCCAGCTGACACGGATCACCACAGAGTACACCACAGAGAGGTCAGGTGACAAGAGCCTGCAGCTTCGCATCACACAGCTGCTGGCAACACTGGAGCAGCGGGAGGTCATCATCAAACGTCAGGAAGAGGTCAGGGGTCATAGCTACTGGTCACTGGTCAGCCCGGCCCCTTAGACACAGATCTAGGATCAGATCTAGGAAATGCCTACTCCTGTAATTGGAAAAAACTAGAACCAAACTAACCTAACAGTTTTGGAGTAGAAAAACAGCCTGCTTCTAGGGTCTGTTCTCACCCTGCTTCTAGGGTCTGTTGCCTAATTTGTTCCCATAATCAAGTGATTGGTTTTGGTAAGGCCAGTCTGACTATATTCTCCCACAGTGGTTGTGATAATGTGGCTCTGAAGGATCCTTTCATTTCAGCTCAGGAATGTATTTACCTGACACGTCGTACACCTTTAGCTCCATCATTAACACCTGTTTTACGGCACAGGCCTCATTCCTCCTCCTCCCTCCCTATTCACCTTTGACCTCCTATCTCTGACTTCTGACCTTTAACCTCCAGGAGATTTGGCGGTTGCAGCAGGAGAAGAAGAGCGAAGGCTCCAGGAACGTCACCACGACCACTATCACCAAAAGGTCAGCCCCCCACAATACCATGAGCCTATTCTATGGGGAATATTTGGGGTAGTAGCGCCCTTAAAATGGGTTAATGTAATTTGGGATGCCTCGTGTGGTATTTCCCAAAACAGGAATTTGTACTGGTGTACAGTAGGTACATAACCAACCAGTATGCGGTCCTTACTGTGTATAACTGATGTGTAGGTACAGGAACCAGTACCCTCTCCTGGGCCTGCTGACTGATGACTACAATTCCACATCGCCCGTCAAGGATACCAAGACCATCGTAATCCAGAGCCGGACAGGGGAGATGATCAAACAGGTAGAGTAGAGCAGGGAGGAAATAGAAACTAGATGGCCATGCTAGAAAGGACAAACTACAGTATAGCTATACTGTCAGAACTGAGGAGTAAGTACATCAGCTATTGTTCTCAGTTTAGAGTTTGAAGTGAGGGGAAAGATTAGGGTAACGATTAAGGTTAGGGTTAGTGGTTGAAAGTAAAATATGATTAGTGATTAGAAAGGGCTATTCATCTGTCCATTCTGGCATGGCCAAATAGTGTTAACCCTGTGTGTACTACCATGGGGCCCCAGGAGGGAGAGAGCCTGGCCCTGTCAGATGCTGGGCAAGGGTCCGCCATGTGAGGAGAGGAGAGCCTGTGATGAGAGGATGATGGATGGAAGTTGACTCCTCTGTGGTCCTGGAGAGCCAGGCACTGATGGCATGGAGAGACCATGTTAAATTCTGCCTCTTTCTGTTAGTAGTAAAATAAATGGATATTCTCCTGACTCTACTAAATTCCATATTGGGGTTGTGGATGCTTAATTGGACAGGTGTCCTTGTTTGTGAGAGTCATGCAAGGGGTTGTGAGTAAGTTTGGAATGGATTTAGGGTGACAGCACAGACTTTTCCCGGGATTGGGGTAGGGCTGCACAATTAAGTAAATTCACATTGAAATTGCAATATTGACATGTGCAATATCCATATCGCAAGAGATCCATATCGCATGCAATATTTAGAAACGCTTCTTAACTGCGTATAATGTTTTTATAGTTTACTCTGTTGTCTCTCTCCGTCTCTCCTTTTGTGGCCGCTTCCCACACACACACCATGACCCACCCCCTGTCACTCAAGCAGCGCTGTTCCTCCTCCTTGCTGTTAGATTCCCTTTACATTTGCATGCAGTTCCGTTAGGTCAGATGCAGTCAAAAGATTGTTCCAAACAAGAACGATGCTTTTTAGATTTTTTGCCCATATCGTGCAGCCCTAGTTGGAGATCCACTGTTAGTCTCAGCACTCTTATGACATCAAGTCAATCATAGGACTAGATGATATCAAGCTTTTTGTCTTTCCAATGCTGAATGAAAGAGTTGTATGGCAGAAAGCAGTGAGTGGCAAACAGCGAGAAACAAATATTTTGTAATTACAGCTGATGGATTAGTCCTTCACGCCATAACGACCGTATCTTTGTTCTGTTCATCTCGAAACAGGAAATCATTACGACCCCTTAAAGACACTGCTTCTCTCTGCTCTGCACAGGAATGAACGACAAGAAGACCCTGACGTTCCCCACCCCATCCCCTCCTTCCCTCCCTCCTTCCCCCCGCATGCTTCCCTCTCCCCCTCCCTCGTCCTCAGGGCTCCCAGGGTGGTGGTGGTAGGGGTTCAGCACCCCAATATTTGGGATGGGTGGTTTGGACCAAATGGGGTTTGCTTGGACGGGAGGCTTCACTTTGGTTGGGATGGGGGGCATCAAATACTCAACGACCAAATATGTTATAGTAGAAGCTTAGCAGTTAGGAGTGTTAGGCCAGTAACCGAAAGGTTGCTGGTTCGAAATCCCTGAGCCGAATAGGTTAAAAATCTTTCTGTGCCCTTGAGAAAAGCACTTAACCCTAATTGCTCCTGTAAGTCGCTCTGGATAAGAGCATCTGCTAAATGACTAAAATTTAAAATGCTTATGCTACAGCCAGCAGGGCTGGGGAGGGGACAGGGAAGAGGGGGCTGGTGCTTATTAGTATACAGCTCACTAGTTTGTCTGTCCTCCATGGAGCCACCACTACCCTGCTAGTCTTTAGGACATCTCCTCTAAAGGTGCTATGATGATAGTATGGTTACTATGCATGTAAATAAGGAAGCAAAATATGCTTTAATTATGCGCTAATAAAAGAGACTGTATGGTAGAATTTGCTTTGGCAGACATTGAAAAATAAATCAGCCTCTGTTCTGGTCTTTTGCTTTTATTTTGTGGCAAGGTAATGGTACATAGTTGTGTTATGTTTCAGCTGCATTTTGTTTCATGTTTATACCTTAAGAGGTGCATGGGTTTGTTTTTTTGGTTTACATGTTGTTTGGATCTGTTTTGAGTGAGGGGTTATTGAATGGAATGCTGCGCTTGGGGTTGGGGAGGGGGGTTGGAGTGGGGTGTATCAGAATATGAATGACTGGGTTGGACATGGCCTGGGGCATGGTTCTATGGATTAAATAAAATGGTGGATGAACTGAACATTTAAAAAATACAATAAACAATGTATGGAGTACCATGTTTTTCCTTTGGATTGTTATCTGCTGAAGGGTCATTCTTTAATTGCAGTGGTAAATGCTGTCCCTTGACTTTGAAACCATGTTAAAACACTTTCAAATGACAAAAACATGACAAATAATACATTTTCCGTTTTATGTAACTGTTATTTAATAAGAAAACATATGTAAGTCCTTTATACTGCGAAACATCTATTAGTATGCATGGTAGAAACTACTGGGGGCTAGAAAACTGGCTTGTCCCCCTGGTGATGTGTAGAGGTGTAGTGACATGTTTTGGGGATTTAGAGATCTATCTACTATTTTGAATGCTAGACAGTGAACAAAAGTATTTAATATATTGTATAGATGAATAAAAACAAAGAAGGCTATTAAAATAGCTTCTTTTTTTACTAGTATAATGTGTGTCCCTCAGTTTTATGTCATTGGTGTTACCGCCTTGTAAATCACTGATTACAAAGATATGCAAGAACCTTGAGCATTCTCTCCAGTGGCAAACTGTTATTGGAGGAGGGGTGTATATTAAAGAAAATGATTAGCTAATCACACCCTTTTAGTATGTCCAAAAATTTGAGGATTCCATTGATTATTTGGTGTGTCTAAATCCAATGTCTATTTAAATGAAGGGAAATAACATTGTGAGCAAAATTATTCATCTTATCACTTTAGTAAATGATTTATAAAGGGTTGATGACCTTAGATATGAGCATTTGTGGCCTCCATTTCAGAAAATCCTAATTTACCTAGAATGTCTCATTGGTGTTACTACTCCTACTGGTGGCACAGTGTTATCGTAATGGTATAAAAATATTGAAAGTCATTAAGCTACCATACTAGTTGATTTAGAATGGGAAGATGGACCCAAATACATTTCAATTTAAAAATCTAGAAAAATTAAGTACATTTTTTCCAAAATGCCTTGCCCAAATGCCACCATAATTCAAGAACGACCCTGAAGTTATCTCTTGCCTGTGCTCGCCCATGTAAAGTTAACCTGTTATTTTCCATTTAGGCATTAACCCTCTGCTTTTTGGAAGTGTAATTAAATTGTAAAATGTAACACTGGTGCACTTGTCTTTGGTTTTTGTTTGTATTTTCTTCCACCTATGAAACTGCTATAAAAAGGGGGCCTAGTGGCAACTATATCCTACTCCAGTAGGGCGCCACCAGTTGGGTGCAGTTACCTTCTCTTGCCAGCAGAGAGGGCCAGCAGCCTACAGTTGTGCCTCAGAGTGACAGGGAGTGAGTGATAGGAAGCAGCCTTCCTCTGCTCTCAGTGGATGAGGTCATGATACACTACATGACCAAATGTATGTGGACACCTGCTCGTCGAAACATCTCATTTCAAAATCATTGGCATTAATATGGAGTTGGTCCCCCTTTGCTGCTATAACAGCCTCCACTCTTCTGGGAAGGCTTTCCACTAGATGTTGGAACATTGCTGCGGTGACTTGCTTCCATTCAGCCACAAAAGCATTAGTGAGGTCGGGCACTGATGTTGGGCGATTAGGCCTGGCTCGAAGTCAGCGTTCCAATTCATCCCAAAGGTGTTCGATGGGGTTGAGGTCAGGGCTCTGTGCAGGCCAGTCAAGTTCTTCCACACCGTTCTCGGCAAACCATTTCTGTATGGACCTCGTTTTGTGCACAGGGGCATTGTCATGCTGAAACAGGAAAGGGTCTTCCCCAAACTGTTGCCACAAAGTTGGAAGCACAGAATCGTCTGGAATGTCATTGTATGCTGTAGCGTTAAGATTTCCCTTCACTGGAACTAAGGAGGCTAGTCCAAACCATGAAAAACAGCCCCAGACCATTGTTCCTCCTCCACCAAACTTTACAGTTGGCACTATGCATTGGGGCAGGTAGCGCTCTCCTGGCATCCGTCAAAGCCAGATTAGTCCGTTGGACTGCCAGATGGTGAAGCGTGATTCATCACTCCAGAGAACGCGTTTCCACTTCTCCAGAGTCCAATGGAGGTGAGCTTTACACCACTCCAGCTGACGCTTGGCATTACGCATGGTGATCTTAGGCTTGTGTGCGGCTGCTCTGCCATGGAAACCCATTTCATGAAGCTCCCGACGAACGCGCTACGCGCTTCAGCCCTCGGTGGTCCCGTTCTGTGAGCTAGTGTGGCCTACCACTTTGTGGCTGAGCCATTGTTGCTCCTAGACGTTTCCACTTCACAATAACAGCACTTACAGTTGACCGGGGCAGCTCTAGCAGGGCAGAAATTGGACAAACTGACTTGTTGGAAAGGTGGCATCCTATGACGGTGCCACATTGAAATTCACTGAGCTCTTCAGTAAGGCCATTCTACTGTCAATGTTTGTCTATGGAGATTGCATGCCTTGTGTGCTCGATTTTATAGACCTGTCAGCAACGGGTGTATAAATAGCCGAATCCACTAATTTGAAGGGGTGTCCACATACTTTTGTATATATAGTGTATATCTGTAGGGCTTGGCTCAGGCAGAATGTCAACCATTTCACTGGCCCATTCACTGGTCTGTCTGACTGACGATTCACACAGACCTTGTGATGATCAGTAACTCTATCTATGCTTGGTAATGGTAGTACACTAGTAGTGGACCTAGTAGTTTAGTGGTTAGTCATTGCAGCACTATCAGTAGTATTACAGTTTTCTTTTATCGCTTTGGTACTATTAAAATTTCACAACACTTAGTACAAAACTCAAAACAGATAATCAAAAAGGCTGTTTTTTCAAAACTTTTTCAATTGTCGGTAAGTACAACACACAAAATCACACAGTAACTTTTTCACCAAACCTAATCA